TAAAGGGAGAGATATACTTCAATAAAATAGTAGTTGGAGACTTCAACAGCCCATTCTCAGCATTAAACTGGTCACCTAGGCAGACATTCAACAAAGAAACAATGAATTTAAAGTGCACTTTAGAACAAATGGACCTAAGAGACATTTATAGAAGATTACATTCAACAGCTACAGAATACACATTCTATTCATAAGTACATAATACATTCTCCAGGATGGACCATGTGATTTGGCCATAAAACAAGGCTGAGCAAATTTAAAAGAGTTGAAATCATATCAAGTATCTCTTCTGATCACAAAGGAATAAAACTAGAAATCAATAACAGAAAATTTCAAAATAAAGCAAATATACAAAAATTAAAAACCTGCTCCTGAATGACTAATAGATCTATAGAGAAATCAGGAAAGAAATTTTTAAAATGTTTGAAACAAATGACAAAAGAAACACAACATACAAACCTATAGGCCGGTCGCAGTGGCTCACACCCGTAATCCCAGCACTCTGGGAGGCCGAAGCAGGTGGATCACCTGAGGTCAGGAGTTCAAGACCAGCCTGTCCAACATGCCAAAACCCCATCTCCACTAAAAAAATACAAAAAAAAAAAAAAAAAAAAAGGGCCAGGCATGTTGGCAGGTGCCTGTAATCACAGCTACTTGGGAGGCTAAGGCAGGAGAATCGCTTGAACCCAGGAGGCAGAGGTTGCAGTGAGCTGAGAACACACCACTGCACTCCAGCCTGGGTGACAAGAGTGAAACTCAATCTCAGAAAACAAACAAACACACAAACAAAACAAACGACAAGAACAAAAAAACCTATGAGATATAGCAAAAGCAATATTAAGAGAAATTTATAGCAATTAACACTGATATCAAGAGTATAAAAATTTCAAATAAACAACCAAATGATACATATCAAGGAATTAGAAAAAGGAACAAACCCAAAACCAAAATTAGTACAAGGAAATAAATAATAAAGATCAGAGTACAAATAAATAAATTTGAGACTTAAAAAAGTATAAAACTTCAATGAAATTTAGTTTTTTGAAAAGATAAACAAAATCAACAAATCACTAGCTAACCATGAGAAAAAGAGAAAAGAGCCAAGAAAATAAGGAATAAAAAAAGGAAACATTAAAACTCATACCACAAAAATACAAAGGATCATTACAGACTATTATGAACAAGTATACACTAACACATTTTCTCTTATCCTAATTTTTCTGGCTAATATTTACTTTACTATGTTGATTAAGAGTGGTGAAAGGGGGCATCCTTGTCTTTTTCCAGTTCTTAGAGGAAAAGCTTTCAACTTTTTGCTAGTCAGTATGATGTTGGCTATGGGTTTGTCATACATGGCTTCTACTGTGTTGAAGATAAATGAGTTTCTTCAATAAAGGATGCTGGGAAAATTGGATACTCACACTCAGAAAATCAAAATGAGACCTCTATCTCTTACCATATACAAATATCAACTAAAAATGGATTAAAGACTTAAATGTAAGACCTGAAACTATGAAACTACTAGAAGAACACACAGCAAAAATGCGTCAGGACATTGGTCTAGGCAAATATTTTATGGCTAAGACCTCAAAAGCATAGGCAACAAAAGCAAAAATAGACAAATGATATATATCAAACTACAAAGTTTCTGCACGGCAAAGGAAACAGTCAACAAGGTGAAGAGGCAATCTGCAAAGTTGGAGAAAATATTTGCAAACGATTCATCCAACAAGGGAGTAATATCCAAACCTCAGTATTATGCAATATACTCTTGTAACAAACCTGCATATGTACTCCTTGAATCTTAAAAACAACAAAGCAAAAAAGGCCTTGCTTTTGGCCTCAGTCTCAGCTTTTTGACTTGCCTTCTTCACTAAGCTTAATTATCTCTAGCTTTTGATTTTGAGTGAGAGATGTGTGTCTTTCTATGACTTAAACACTTAGAAGGCATTGTAGGGTTTGTAATTTGCCTAATTTCAATATTGCTGTGTTTCACGGAACAGGTAGGCTCTGTCGCCCAGGCTGGAGTGCAGTGGAGCAATCTCGGCTCACTGCAACCCCCACCTCCCAGGTTCACGCCATTCTCCTGCCTCAGCCTCCCAAGTAGCTGGGACTACAGGCACCCACCACCACACCTGGCTAATTTTTTTGTATTTTTAGTAGAGACAGGGTTTCACCGTGTTAGCCAGGATGGTCTCGATCTCCTGACCTCATGATCCGCCCACCTCGGCCTCCCAAAGTGTTGGGATTACAGGCGTGAGCCACTGTGCCCGGCCCTCTGTGCTGGGTTTTATGTCATCCAATAACTCACAACTATGTAATTTATCTCCTTTTTTCAGATAAAGAAATGGGGGCTCAGAGCAGTCAAGAACGTTCCCCAAGTTATTCGTCAGTGAAGCAGAAATTGTGGTGTCCTTGTGTAAGTTCAGTTTATACTTTACCATTATACTGTGCTCCAAAATATCTGATACTCACTTTCAAAGTATGTGTAGGAAGTTTACTATGATGATGCAGAGGCATTGTACAGAATCCAGTCCCTTGACTCTCAGGTCCCCAGAATACTCACTTCACAATTTTGTTGACCTCTTATGTCACATTAAAGCTGGCACTCTCTTGGCTGGTTTTCTCTGCTCTTTCTGGGCACTCCAAAGCTTCTGTACTTACATGCTACAATTCCAGTCACAGGAAGATGCTGACTTGATTCTTTAGTCCCAGATCCATATTCCTGAGAAAACCTAACTGCCTAGGCTCAGGTCAGAACTCTCTGTTTCAGTTGATTATGGCTGGACTTACTGCCCCTCTGTATGGTGGTGGGGCAAAAGTTCCCAGAGAGAGGCAGAGGTGACAGGGACTGTTGTTTCAAATGCTAGGCAGACATCTGGGGTGGTAACCACTACATCTGTTCACAGTGAGCACATCCTTGCAGGGAAACTGGGTTAATCATCTCTATTATTGAAACTCAGAGGCATAGTGTTTCTTCATAGGAATTTTCTTTCCTTTTTTGAGATGGGGTCTCGCTTTGTCATCCAGAATGGAGTGCAGTGGTGTGATCTTGGCTCACTGTAGTCTCCCCTCCCGAGTTCAAGCAATTCTCCTACCTCAGCCTGCTGAGTAGCTGTAACTACAGGCATGGGCCAACACACCTGGGTAATTTTTGTATTTCTAGTAGAGACAAGGTTTCACCATATAGGCCAGGCTGGTCTTGGACTCCTGACCTCAGGTGATCTGCCCACCTTGGCCTCCCAAACTGCTAGGATTACAGGTGTGAGCCATCGCGCCCAGCCTATTTATAGGAATTTTCTCTATGTATATAATAATTTGAAGATCCTTTTTGTGTAATCGTATCTTGAATGGAACAAATATTTTCTTTCTACATAGAAATTATACATAAATAACTCACTGCTTTTTAATACCCATGAAAAAGCATTAGTTCAAAGACACTTGCAAAATTGTTATCAGGTTGTTTTCCTTGGTGCGTATTAAGTTTGAAGGAAAGAGGATTTTCAGATACCAAGACAAAGTAGAAGTCTTCCACCAAGCTGAAATCATTACATTGCAATTTAATCATATGATACAACCAATTTTTTGATGTGTTATGCCATTCACCAAATACCAACGATTTTTAGGGGAAACTTTACATCCTCAATACTGTACACTTCCAGCTACACCACTACCTAACATGGACTTTAAAAAGAATACAAAGTACAGTATGCCTTCTCAGTGCCTTGTTAGTAATTCAGCTACAATTCTGCCAAACTAAGAAATACAATTCTCAATCTTACACTGTTCAGAGCACAAGCATAGCTTATTGTACACAAGAGATGTGCATCCGTTCCCACTCCTCAGGGACTGTATGAATTTGGCTTTATTATTTTTTTTAGACGGAGTCTCACTCTGTTGCCAGGCTAGAGTGCAGTGGTGTGATCTCAACTCACTGAACTCTGTCTTCTGGGTTCAAGTGATTCTCCTGCCTCAGCCTCCCAAGTAGCTAGGACTACAGGTGCACACCACCAAACCCAGTTGATTTTATTTTTATTTTTAGTAGACATGGGGTTTCACCATGTTGGCCAGGATGGTCTTGATCTCTTAACCTCATGATCCACCCACTTCAGCCTCCCAAGGTGCTGGGATTACAGGCTTGAGCCACTGTGCCCAGTCAAATTTGGCTCTTAAGAAACCAAGGAGAAATGTGTGCACTAGGCCCAGGGCTGAAGAGCTGCTTCTCATCAGATGCCTCTCTTGGTCTGGCTGCTGTATCCAGTCCTATCCGGGGTTAGCTCTGTTCCTCCTCCTTGTGGCATCTGTGTTCTCTGTCTGCTCTGTCTCTCCCCATCTCCCAGTCCAAACATCCAAATAAATTAGTTATCTCCAGGAGATCGAGACCATCCTGGCTAACATGGTGAAACCCCATGTCTACTAAAAATAAAAATAAAATCAACTGGGCTTGGTGGTGTGCACCTGTAGTCCTGCCCATCTCTACTAAAAATACAAAAAATTAGCTGGGCGTGGTGGCGGGCGCCTGTAGTCCCAGCTACTCAGGAGGCTGAGGCAGGAGCATGGCGTGAACCCGGGAGGTGGAGGTTGCAGTGAGCTGAGATTGCGCCACTGCACTCCAGCCTGGGCAACAGAGCGAGACTCTGTCTCAAAAAAAAAAAAAGAAATTAATGACCTCTGCCCCTAACTAAACAAAGCCCTTCATCTAAGGCCAACCTTACGTTGGCAGCCTTAGCCAGACATCTGCTTCTGGTCAAATCAGTGTCTTGTCCACAGGGAGGCCCAGTGCTATTTCTAGTTTTAGCTGGATGCAGGGTGTCAGACATGGCAGGTACCATGGTCTACCTGGCGGATATCAAAGAGTTGGCCGACATTCTCTCAACCACCTAATAGGTCCCAATCATGTAAGGCCAGTAGTAAAGGAGTTTGCAGTTCCATTTCATAAACCAACGAACAACCCCAAAGAGACAGTGTCTAACATAAAAGAACAGCCATAAAAATATACATATTTTTATGTATATTTAATAGAAGTTAAACATATTTAATAGAAATATTAAAATAATCATTACACTTCCTCTCATTGAGGAAACCATGAAAGAATAGGCCTTTTGTAATCAAAGTAATAATTTTTTATCATGCAAAAAGGTATTTTTGTTATGACATTCATAAGCAGAGACTATATTTTAAAACAAGTTTATACAGACTTCAAAAGGTCTAAAGTCAAAGAGAAAGTAAAATATATTCAAATATGATTCGTTACATTGTAGGCAGGTGGCATACTCAAATTCACAGTTTATAAAGTAAAAAAACTAAACTCTTCATGTCAGCTCTGAAATAGATGCATTTTCATTAATACATTCACTAGTTAGGTCTGTTCTTCTAAGACAGGAGGAAAGACAGATATATGAGATATTATTTAAAGAACAAACTCAACATATCAGCAGCAAATTTCAGTTAAACTAAATTGGAAACCAATGTTCTGCATAATCAAAGTGCAAAGTCAGTTCTCCAGCTCAGAATGAGAATTAAGAGTATAAACTGAAGGCTTAAGAGAACTTCAGAAAGCATACTGTGTGGTGATTAACACATAAATATTAAAAATAGAATTATCAAATTTTTGATTTAAGAACACTACAATTTTGATCTAGTCATTAAAACATATGCAGAGGCATCAAAGGCAAGTAACGCTACCACCTAAGTTTATTCAGAGGAACTGTGAAGATGTAGCACGGACCTCCAAGGTGTCTTTCTAAAATCCCTTCTGCTGGAAAGCTGATGGAAAGCTTACGGAACACTATCTGCCACAACATTGAAAGCACCAGTTTTATACTTAAGATACAATGCTGAGTGATATAGTTACTGTTGTGATAGGTTTTCATTTGGGAAAATGGAGAGGATTCTCAAAACAGATTCATGGCTTGCATGTAGCGACACCATACCAAGAGCCCGGACAGATAGCATGAAATCACCTCAACTCAGGGGGTGGGCCTGCCTATTCAGAGTCAGTGTTACACTAGCCAGCTCTAGGGCTCTGACAACATCGTGAGTTTTGAGAGAATATACTTTAAAGAAAAAAAGAACAGTTTATTTTAAAGTAACTAAATTATATTTCAACTTAGCATAATTAACTGCAGCATATTTACTTCATAGCCCCTTAATAAACATGTTACTTTTACCAATAAAGCTTTTTCCTTCATATTCTAATCACAAAAATTTCTCAACAATTTATAACTAATAACAATCTACAAATCTGACCTTGCAATAAATAGTCATAAAACATTATTTTTATTGTATTATTATTATTATTTTTAGAGACAAGGTCTCGCTCTGTTCCCCGAGCTGGAGTGCAGTGGTACGATAACAGCGCACTAGCCTCAAGTGATTCTCCAGCCTCAGCCTCCCAAAGTGCTGGGATTACAGGCCTGAATCACCACACACGGCCTTGAAACATTATTTTTAAAGCCTAAATTCCAGTTGGTATGGTACCAAAATTTAGTTTAACTTCAAAATTCACAGTACTGCCGAGCAATGGGTCCTGAGGTTCCAGAGGAGTGGGGAGTGAATTCATTCCTGGTGGTTTTATTCTGGCAGCATGCACGGGAGATCACATGAGTCAGAGGGCTGTCGCCTGGTATCAACACTTCAAGCTGTTGTACTTTTACTTCAAGTTGAAACTTTTAAAATACATCTGTCATATAGATGTACAAATATATGTAGATGCAAACATATATACACACTTTTGGACAAAAGGATGATGGTAATATACATGAACCATTTTTGTAAATAGATTCTATTTGGTTAATAAAAATACTCCTTCCATCAATCTATCGAAGTCCAGACCAACTATGAAGATAGGATGCCCATCCAGAAGAACGGGAAGCGTTTTCCTCCTCACCTTTGGAAAGTAAAAAGAGAGTATTACAATTTCTCAATGTAAAATCTGTATTTTAGAACCACTCTACAATATAAGCAAAGAATGTCTTTTTTACTGATTACATGCCTTTTTGGGGGGCTGGGGGGTTTCTTTTTTGTTGAGACAAGGTCTTGCTCTGTTGCCCAGGCTGGAGTGCAGTGGCGTGATGAGACTTCAATGCAGCCTTGGTCTCCCAGGCTCAAGTGATTCCCCCACCTCAGCCTCCCAAGTAACTGGCACCATAAGATGTGTGCCAACATGCCTGGGTAAGTTGTTTTTTTTTTTTTTTTTTTTTTTTTTGTAGAGATGTGGGTCTCACTGTTTTCCAGGCTGGTCTCAAACTCCTGGGCTCAAGTGGTCCTCCCACTTCAGCCTCACAAAGTGTTGGGATTATAGCCATGAGCCACTGCATCCATCCATATGTCATCCTTTAGACATATTACTTACTAAATTTCTCTTTTTAAAGGATATACTGAATTTCTGGTTGAGCCAACCTAACAGCTACTTTTATTTTAGCTTTAAAACATTGATAAGCAACATGAAGCAATCTAGAACTTAACCTCTGAATGGCTTTATTAAAGAAATCCAGCTATGAAAATTATGCAGAAATGATTCTCTACAAACAATCCTACCAGCACATAAGAAATTCTTCCTCTATTCTGAAATACCATCTTCTCATAACATACTTTGATGTTATGAATCAATGTCTGTTCTTGAACATTATTTATTGTCTTTCTCTATTAAACAATTCCAAAATAAGATTTCTAGCACAACTAAATATTGTTGACAATAAGAGAATGAAAAATAAAATTCTTTTAAAACAGAAGCTTATATGCAACTTAGAATCTAAAATCAATAGATTTATGGTAAACCTTAAAACTTAACCAAAACAAAAACCAAAGTTTTAATCATTTAAAAATCATGTTTATTGAGGTACAACTTACTTATAGTAAAACCTGCCCTTTTCAGCATATAGCACTGAGTCTCGACAAATGCACAGTTATGTACCACCACCGACCAAGGCCTGGCACATTTTCACCTCCTCAAAGTTCTCCCTGGCTGCTTCTCCCACTCCTTGGCAACCACTAACCTGTTTTCTGTCCTTACAGTTCTGCTTTTTTCCTAATGTCATATAAGTAGAATCACACTGTACATAGTCTTTTGAGTCTGACCTCTGTCAACTGGCATAATGCATTCGAGAATTATCCATGTACTGGCAGTGCATTCTTTTTTTATTGCTGAGCAGTATTAAACTGCATGGCTGTACCAGTTTGTTTATTCATTTGCTAGTTGAAGGATAACTGAGATCTTCCTAGTTTTTAGCAATTTTAAAGAAAGTTTCTATGAATAATTGTGTACAGATTTTTCATGAAATGTTTTGGAGATATAATTCATATACCACATAATTCACCTTTTCAAAGTGCACAGTTCACTGGTTTTTAATGTATTCACAAGGTTTGTGCATATGTTTCTGTGTGAATACTGGTTTTCATTCCTCTTGGATAAAGATATTTAACTTGGTATTACCCTTCCAGACACCTTTTTATGTTTTCATACATATACATGTACCACAGTTTGATCTCAGGCAGAGAAGCATTTTCAAAATTTTACATGGGGAAACTCTAGAGTTAAAGCCATTTTCATTTATTTTTCTGTTCTGTCTGGTTTTATCTGCATATTATTTATAATCTGCTGCATAACAAATTACTGCAAACTTAGTACCTTAACACATTTCACAGTTTCTGTGGGTCAGGAGATCAGAAACGGTTGTTTTCAAGGTCTCTCATAGGGCTGCAATCAAGATGTTGGCATGGCTGGGGTCTCATCTGAAGGCTGGACTGGAGAAGAATCTACTTCCAAACTTATGTGCTAGTTGGAAGAATTTAGTTCCTCAAGGCTGCTAAGCTGATGGCCTGTTCCTTGCCTATGGGCCTGTCTGGGATGGTAGCTTGTTTCATCAAAGTGTTCAAGCAACGAAGGCAGAGAGAGTCTGCTAGCAAGATAGAAGCCACAATCTCTTGTAATCTGTCACTTTTGCTGTATTCTACTGGTTAAAAATAACTCATTAGGTTAACCTACTGGCTCTCAGGGGGAAGAGATTATACAAAGGCATGAATGTCTGGAGGAGTGAATGAGGGCAAAGAATTCTGAGAAGTCTGGCTTCCACAATCTTTAGAACTTCTAGAAAGTAAGAGGAAGAAATAACGCTTAGGGATGGACAACTTGGCACTGGTTATGTGTTCCCAGTGAGGTAACCTCGTTCCCAAGAATAAACAGAATCAGATGACTGTAAACATTTCCCTAAACTGAAATGCAGACTGTTGTATGTTCACCTGAAATGAATGGTATAAGCCGAGTACAAGATTTTTGACAAAATAAAAATTTTGCTGTGTTCTCAGATCTGGCAGGCCCCTGCCCTTGTGCAGACAATGTTCCTGGCAGCTATTAATCTCCTTAGGTAAATAAGAACTGGAGAAAAGCTGTGCTGAGATAGGGTGCATTTGCTCTTGCCTTGGAAGGTTGTTTTCTGATAAGGTTCTATATCCTCTGCAAATCAAGTCAGGTACTTACAGTGAGTATGCATTCTCCTCCTGCCAGTCTGGAGATGACCAAAAAGCCTATAACAGACCGGGCGCGGTGGCTCACGCCTGTAATCCCAGCACTTTGGGAGGCCGAGGTGGGCGGATCATGAGGTCAGGAGATCGAGACCATCCTGGCTAACACGGTGAAACCCCGTCTCTACTAAAAATGCAAAAAATTAGCTGGGCGTGGCAGTGGGCGCCTGTAGTCCCAGCTATTCGGGAGGCTGAAGCAGGAGAATGGCGTGAACTCGGGAGGCGGAGCTTGCAGTGAGCCAAGATGGCGCCACTGCACTCCAGCCTGGGCGACTGAGCGAGACTCCGTCTCAAAAAAAAAAAAAAAAAAAAAAAAAAAAAAAAAAAAAAAAAGCCTATAACAGGCTTGGTCTATTTTCCTACAGGGTTGTTGGGCTTTTTTTCCTCTTTACTTACTTGTATAGAGTTTTACCCCTCTGTGTATATATGGTGTACAAGTGACAATATTCAGATCTGTAAATTGTAACCCAGTCTGGGAGCAAAGAAGATACAGAAAAATGACTTACTTCCTGCTTGAGTAGTAAAATTGAGATTCAAATTTTGCATACAGAATTACTATATGGCTAACTTACTCGGGGAGCAAAGCTGACTTACCAAAGTCTATCTCAAATAGAAATGAAACACTCAATTTGTGAACTATGCTGAATTTTAATGTGTGTGGGGGCAGGGTGAATGAACATTTGTGATACAAGGACAGGAGCAATCTATACTTAGCAGTATCTATTTGACATTAATTGTTTGGGGACTACCGCTACACTCTAAGTCATTTTACCTTTTAACACAGAATTGTAACAGGCTACTCTGAGCAGCTCATGCCATCTGCTTGAAATTTAATGTGTTTATTTATAAAGAGTTTGTGTTTATTTGTTTCTTTATAAGGAGTTTGATGCTGCTTTTCAGAGTTGGGTAATCTACTTTACCCCCTAAGCTAATGTTTCCCAAATACACCCAAACCCACAGAAAGGAAAACTATTCCCCATAAACTTACAGCCAACATCATAAACATTTTATATCTAGAGCTGATGATACAGTCAGGTATTGACCAATACTCATGCATGTATGTAGAGTTTCAAGAAATAACTGCTTACCCTTACTAACATATTCTAATGTTTGACATACTATTTTAATTTTTTTAAAAAAATGGGATTTTACTCTGTCGCCCAGGCTGAAATGCAGTGGCATGACCAGGATTTCGACCAGAAGTTTGACTGCAGCCTCAAATTCCTTATAATAAACAATCCTGCTGCCTTAGCCTCCTGAGTAGCTAGGACTACAGGCACATGCCACCACGGCTGATATATTCTAAAATTTTTGTAGCCATAGGTTCTTGCCATGTTGCCCAGGCCGATTTTGAACTTCTGTCCTCAAGCAATCCTCCTGCCTGGTATTCCCAAACTGTTGGGATTACAGGTATGAGTCACTGAGCCCAGCTTGTATTCTTCTGATTAAAAAAAAATATTCTGAATGTGATCCACCAAATTAATTTCACCATCCACTAATAGGTAGCAACCTGAATGAAAAATACTGTTATTAAACTTTAGACAAAACCAGAGATTACAAACATTTGCTTCCAAGGAGATGAAGGAGGCAAGAGGTACTTGTTTGCTCTGATGGGCCCTGTTTCCTTCAGTGCCAGGAAGAGTGGCTCTCAGACCTTTAGTACTTTCAAGGCTTTGGTAACAAAATGCCCCTAGTGTGACCAGTCAGGCTGACAGTCCACACCTGTAATATGGTAGTTACATTTCCTTTGCATGTTTGTCTTTCTTGCATCTTAGACTTTTTACCTAGGAAATTTTCTTTTTGCTTGGAGTACATCATTAAGAATTTTCGACGAAGGCGAATTCTTAAAGAGTTTTTGTTTTCCAGAAGAGATTTTGGAAAATATAAAAGGTTGGCAGTTATTTCTTTTAGTACATGAGATAGTATCACACCAATGGTGTTGATAAGTCTATTTTGAGGCAATGTGTCTTCTTTCTCTGGCTGCTTTTGAGATTTCTCTTTATAAGGAGTTTTACTCTTTAGGGGCAGTTTTACTCTTACGTGACTAGAAGTAGATTTCTTTTTTTTAAACACTGCTTGAGATTTTATTGGGTTTTTGAATCTGTGGATAGACATCCGTCTCCATTTCTAAAAGATTTCTAGCCATTCTCTTCATAAATGATCTGTGCTCTATTCTTTTATCTCCTTTTAGAACTTCAATTAGTAAAAACATGTTTGATGTTTTTATTTATCCTCTATGTCTTTTCCCATTCTTTTTCTTTTTTGTTTCTCCCATGCTGAATTCTGTGTAATTTCTTCTGAACTATCTTCTAGTTTACATTCTTTTTTTTTTTTTTTTTTTTTTTTTGAGACGGAGTTTTGCTCTTGTTACCCAGGCTGGAGTGCAATGGCACCATCTTGGCTCACTGCAACCTCCACCTCCTGGGTCCTGGTATTCCAAACCGTTGGGATTACAGGCATGAGTCACTGAGCCCAGCTTGTATTCTTCTGATTAAAAAAAAATATTCTGAATGTGATCCACCAAATTAATTTCACCATCCACTAATAGGTAGCAACCTGAATGAAAAATACTGTTATTAAACTTTAGACAAAACCAGAGATTACAAGATTTGCTTCCAAGGAGATGAAGGGAGGCAAGAGGTACTTGTTTGCTCTGATACCCTGTTTCCTTCAGTGCCAGGAAGAGGGTTTCAGACCTTTAGTACTTTCAAGGCTTCTGGTAACAATGCCTTTAGTGTGACCAGTCAGGCTGACAGTCCACACCTGTACATGGCAGTTGTTACCCCTGCATGCCTGTCCTTCCCTGTAATCTCAGACCTTAACAGAAATCTTCTTTGCTGAGCACACTCACACAACCTTCCTAATGCACACACCCTGAAGAGCCTTGCTCCACAACACCCTAACACAAAAAGCAGTCATTCCTCTCAAGTCACCACACGCAATGCCCACTTATCCCACCCTATTTAACCCCCCATAAGCAGCCACTTGAAAGGCTCACTCACGACTCTAAAGTAGATTTTTTTTAAATACTGCTTGAGATTTTATTGCTTTAATCTGTGGATAGACATCCGTCTATTTCTAAAAGATTTTTTAGCCATTCCTTTCTTAATAAATGATCGTGCTCATTCTTTTATCTCCTTTAGAACTTCAATTAGTAAACATGGTCGATGCTTATTTATCCTGCGTTCTGATGTGAGTTTTGATATACTTGGGATTGACGATTTTTTCGGAGCGATGGAGACGGAGCGGCGGAGATTTAGAGGCTGGAGTGGTGGCTGCACGATCTGTTTCCACTCGTGGTCCTCGACTCTCGAGCCTGAGCTGATTCTCGTACTTAGCCTCCTGTAAGAGCTGGATGGGCAGTGATGACATGAGACTTGGATGAGAGATGAGTGATGAGGAGAGGGAGGATTGAACCCTTCTGATTCTGTGGTGATCTTGCTTTCTCGGCTTCTAACATAGGCGTGGAGTTTACTTACACCTGGCTTATTATCGAATGAGAGAACGACGCCATTTGGTCAGCAGGTGGGCTGGGAGGGATGCACTGAGGAAAGAGATGGTGAGGGCACGGAATGAATGATGAAAGTGAGAGAGGAGAGATGAAATGTGTGGCTTAGTTTGAGAGTGATAGCTTGAGAGGAGGCGGAAGAGAAGGTTAGATTTTGAGTGCAATGGCACCATCTTGGCTCACTGCAACCTCCACCTCCTGGGTTCGAGCGATTCTCCTACCTCAGCCTCCCAAGTAGCTGGGATTACAGGCATGTGCCACCACGCCTGGCTAATTTTTGTATTTTTAGTAGAGACGGGGTTTCACCATGTTGGCCAGGCTGGTCTCAAACTCCTGACCTCAGGTGATTCGCCCTCCTCGGCCTCCCAAAGTTCTGGGATTACAGGCGTGAGCCCACCACACCCGCCCTTACATTATCTAAATCTGTTGCTAAACCATCATTGCTTTTAATTGTTATAAGGTGTCTTTTATGTACTCACACTGGTAAGAGACAAGTAGTAAATAATCTTTAAAGGGCAAACTAATTTAAATTTAAGTGTTTTCCTGTATATTTACAGGACTTAGCAACTATGCACATCTTCGAGTTCTGGGTTTCTAATGTATATCTCCTCTATGATATTCTTTAAAAATATGTTATTGGTATCCCTTAGGTTAGTCTCTTTTAGAACTTCTAATCAACGGACCCTTAACTTACAGGAGCCACCTGGATGTTAGCAACATCCACATTAAACGTGCTGAGCTTTTAAAAGAGGGCTGTTAGACATGCTAAGTATTTTGAGATATCATTGTTCTATTGAAAACTTTTGATTTATATATTTTTATATAATTTTGAGATTTCTCTGTCTTGTTTTTATAGGGGCAGTTTTACTCTTATGTGACTAGAAGTAGATTTCTTCTTTTTTATAACTATAAAATTAGGTTTACTTTTGTTAGAATAAATTAAAGACAGTGAATTTGTAATTTGCAAATTTGTAACTGGAATAACTATTTACTAAAAATATATATGATGTATTCTTATTTGGGCTCTTGTGACAAAAATACTATTGTGGCTATAGAAATCTAAGAACTGAGATTACTTCAGTATTGAGAACGTTCCTCCTTCATCATTAGAAAGACTATAAAAAACCAGATTCAAAGAAACTATCAATACTACTTATGAGGTACGTCTGTAAAAAAAAAAATTAAGCCTGCGTCTTATCAGGCCTCTAGACCAGGGGTTCTCAAGGTATGGGCCCCAGACCAGAAGTATCAGCAACAAATTGTTAAAAATGCAGAATCTTGGGTCAGAAACTGGGGACCAGCAACTGGAATTTTAGTAAGTATACCCGATGATTCAGATGTCTGCTCAATTTTGAGGATGACTCTATCAGTTTAGTTATTAGGATTTACAGGGGATAGGGGAACATGTTAAAGAGTACCAACTAGATAAGGTCAATCAGTTAAAAGTAAGACGTCTGGACATTCTGGGCCTCCTGATGTCTTAGAAAGCACACAATACTATCTATGATGTATTTTTGTCTACCATCCCACCCAATTGCACCTGGATCTTCCTATGTATAGTCAATTGGAACAAGTTCAGTGTTACCCTGTAATGATTAAAACCAGAATATAGGACTGCTATAGCATAAATGACCAGTTTCTTCAATTAATAAGTGGCACATTAAAAAATATATTTATATATATAATTGCTATAGATTTAAAAAACAACAAAATGGCCAGGCGTGGTGTCTCACGCCTCTAATCACATCACTTTGGGAGGCTGAGGTGGGCAGATCACAAGGTCAAGAGATTGAGACCATCCTGGTCAACATGGTGAAACCTCGTCTCTACTAAAAATACAAAAATTAGCTGGGTGTGGTGGCGCGCGCCTAGAGTCCCAGCTACTCGGGAGGCTGAGGCAGGAGAATCGCTTGAATCCAGGAGGCAGAGGTTGCAGTGAGCCGAGATTGGACCACTGCCCTCTAGCCTGGGTAACAGAGCAACACTATGTCGCAAACAAACAAAAAAACAACAACAAAATAAAGCTTAAGGAACATCAACCAAATGCAATATAGAAGCCCTATTTAGGATACTATACAAAGACATTCACAATAACCCAGGCAAAATGAACATAAACTGGGTATAGGTGACAGAGAAATCCAATAAACACTGAATTATTCATTGGGCAAATAAATGATGTGTGGGATTTGTTTTAAAGTCTCTAACTCTCCCCTGTTTGTGCCAAGATTGTCCATGAGCTGAAAACTGTTAGAGGTGGGTGACAGCTACAAAAGAGATTATAGTGTCCTCCTTGTATGCTTGAAAATGTCAACAATAAAATTTGAAACTAAAAACAAAAATGAAACCATAATTCTTAAGATGCAGTCTGAATTAACTACAGCAGCTGTATGTGAAGCATTTCAAAGGAGTTAATGACATCACAGTATTAAATCCATCTGACATGGAAACCACCTCCAACTACATCATAGTTTTTTTTTTGAGACGGAATCTTGCCCTGTTATCAGGCTGGAGTACTGTGGCGCGACAGATCACCGCATCCTCCGTCTCCAGGGTTCAAGCGATTCTCCTACCTCAGCCTCCCAAGTAGCTGGGACTACAGGTGCACGCCACCACGCCCAGCTAATTTTTGTATTTTCAGTAGAGACGAGGTTTCACCATGTTGGCCAGGATGGTCTCGATATCCTGACCTCGTGATCTGCTCGCCTCAGCCTCTCAATGTGGTGGGAATACAGGCGTGAGCCACTGGTGCCTGGCCTATGGCACAGTTTCAAAACTGCATTTGCCTAGAAAGTGGATTTCTGTATATAGACCAAGTGTTGGGCTATATGACTCCATTGTCTTAGGCTATTTGGCGTTGGAGGAGGGAAGAGGAGTGAAGTAGAAAAGGAATAAGCTAACAAATGTTTTTTAAAAAGTAGAATTTAAAACAAAACCACATTCAGCTGAACACCAGAACTCAATGCCAGGATACAAGTTCAATTTTCAAAGAACTAGAAGATCAAGCTAAGCACTGTATTGTATTTTGCTGAACGTTAAAATTATATAAATGTACTACAGTTGCCTAAAGATGTTAAAAAAGTCAGCTTTTCAAATCTAGTCATGGCCTACTCATATGACAGACCCAATCCAAATGTGCAAAATTTGAAAGTTACACATATACACAAATTGTCAACCCCAAGGCGGTTTAGTTTAAGTTATAAGTTAGAAGTTCTAAGACTCTCCTTTTACCCACCTTGAGCAATCGCAGCAAGTTTTCCCTTTTCTTCAGGGCTGAGCTGCAACATTGTATTTATAACAGGAAGAAGTCTTTCTCTTTCACTACCTGGTTTCAGGAAAATGAACTGTAGCAAGACATTCTTCAAGTATTCCAGGTTAGCTGCAGACTTCTCTCGCTCTTGATTCCTTTCTAATCTTCTTATTTCACTTTTGAGAAGCTGGTGTTAGAGAAATGAATTAAAAATGGGCTTTAGGAGCTTCTGATTAAATATGGCAGACTGAACTCATGTATTTTTCTTCTCCCTGCTAAACGTCCCCCTTCCCTCCATATGGCAATAAAGGAGGGAATTTAGTTAACTGTAGCAGCTGTATGTGAAGCATTTCAAAGGAGTTTATGACATTACAGTATAAAATCCATTTGACATGAAAACCTGAACTCCAACTATGAGATAGTTTCAAAGCTGCATGTGCCTAGAAAGTGGATTGCTGCATATGCACCAAGTGTTGGGCTATATGACTCCATTGTCCTAAGCTATTTAGGGTTGGAGGGAAGAGGGGTGAAGTTGAAAAGGAACAAACTAATGCAAGAGGAGAAAAAGTAGATGAGACACATCAAGAAATTCTCACAAGATGAGAAACAGACGAACAAGTGGAAATGAGTCAGTCCAGCAGCTTACCAAGTATCACTGACAAGAGGAGAGGATGCATCCTGTGTAAATACTGGGGTTCTTGCTTCAGAAGCACAGGGTATCATGGAAATTGGAGTTGAAAGCTGGGGAACTGATGGAATGTCAACATGAGGAGCAACTAACTGGAGCCATGGGTTGGTACCAAGATGTTTCCTCTGCCTTCTACTTTCTATAGAAACTAAGCCTGTATGGCATGGGGCTCTGAAAATGGGCTGAGGGGAACATCTGTAGCCTCCACTAACTCCCTGCCCCTATCTTGTTCCTAAAGTCCCAGGCAGTTAAGACGTCCACAGTGAATGGCACTTAATCAAAAGTTCAGACACAGTGAAAATTCAAGAATGTAAGACAATGTAAAACACTATCAAAGAAATGAGGCAAAGAATGATATAAAAAAGGTAACAGCATGTTCAAGTCCTTGAGGAAGATTTCCAGGTTGAAACCAAGCCGTAGCTTTTATCATATTTTCATTTTAGGTTAGACAAGAAAGTTAACCAACTTTGTCCTAAAACCTAGGACCATTTAAAAAAGTGACAATAAAGAAGACTAAGAAATCATCAAGAGAGTATAAATTTATGAAAATATAACATTTGGCCAGGCGGGGTGGCTCATGCCTGTAATCCCAACACTTTGGGAGGCTGAGGCGGGCAGATCATGAGGTCAGGACATCAAGACCATCCTGGCCAACATGGTGAAACCCTGTCTCTACTAAAATACAAAAAATTAGCCGGGCATGGTGGTGCGTGCCTGTAGTCCCAGCTACTTGGGAGGCTGAGGCAGGGGAATCGCTTTAACCTGGGAGGCGGAGATTGCAGTGAGCCGAGATCACACCAGTGCACTCCAACCTGGTGACAGAGCAAGACTCTGTCTCAAAAAGGAAAAAAAAAAAAGAAAATAAAACATTTAAATAAGTAACTTAGGTTTACTGGGCTAGTTAGTGATTTGTTAGCTATGATGTTTTTATCAGTGTGAAAATGTTATTTTATAGAGATGCATACTGAAGTATTTAGTGGTGGAATGTCATGATATATTCAATTTACTGAAAATAACTGAATTCAGCTTTAAAATAATCTGATAAGGCTAGCTAGTGGCCTTGCACAGTGGCAGGACAGATCTATTGGGAGCAGCAAAGTACAGGGGAAAAGCATGTACTTTTCAGACAGCTATGAGTTTGAACTTTGTTCCACCATTCACCAGCCTCAATTTCTCTCTCCACCAGTGATGAGATTAAATACTATATGTAAAGCCTAGGGCCTGGGTGATAAGAACTCCTCAGTAAGTAGTATGACTGCATTCTGAGGGGTGATTATCAGTGAGCCAGGGTGGAAATATCTCATTTGAGTAATTCTCAACTGCTCTGCAACATTCCTACATGTTTCTGGTGTCTACTTGAAACAGGAGAAAAACTTCCCATGCCACTTTGCCATCTCCACTTGAAAACTGTTTAGTAGTTCAGTACCATAAATATCATGTGAATGATTTAAATTTACTGTATATCTTTAGAATTCAAAGACTCACATCCAGTTAAGTTTTATTTAAGCATATGTGGAACAATGACTTGTGAGCAGCTCTCTAGTTTCTAAATCTATTATGGTTTCTTAGAAAAAGGAATTAAGAAATAATCTTTATGTAATAGGTATAAAAGCAATATTTTGGCCGGGCGCAGTGGCTCATGCCTGTAATACCAGCACTTTGGGAGGCTGAGGCGGGCGGATCACAAGGTCAGGAGATTGAGACCATCCTGGCTAACATGGTAAAACCCCGTCTCTACTAAAAATACAAAAAAATTAGCAGGGTGTGGTGGCGGGTGCCTGTAGTCCCAGCTACTCGGGAGGCTGAGGCAGGAGAATGGTGTGAACCCGGAAGGCGGAGCTTGCAGTGAGCCGAGATTGCGACACTGCACTCCAGCCTGGGCGACAGAGTGAGACTCTGTCTCAAAAAAAAAAAAAAAAGAAAAGCAGTATTTCTCACCATCAGGAATCTAATATAAAGATCAAGACGTTATGGATGCATCTGCAGTGTGAATTTTTAAACTTGGGTGCCTGTGTATGGAGGACCAAGTAAACCAAACTGGCGGTTTTCATGGTGGCCAGGTTCACTGATCTCACCTTAATTTGCTCCATAAGGATTGCATTGGTTGCTTCTGTTTCCCGAAGCAGGCCGTTTAAGTGATCTGCACTTTTTGTGGTGGAACTGAGCTTCTGAACCAATTCTTCTTTGGTAAATTCGGCATGCCATAATGGAGGCTCTGCAAGATGTTCCAAGAATTAATTTTCAAAATCACAGATACAGATGAAGATTCTAAATAAGAAAACATCTAAATATAAATATCTTACTATGTGATATTTTATAGGTCTGCTTTCTTTGCCATTCATCTATTCAATATACCTTGATCAACAGATTATATCATAGGTGACACAAATAAAACAGTATCTCTGTTGTAAAGCATGTAATCTCACTGAATATAAGCCCTATAAGTCCCAGTTCTGAAATTTGTCAGAACTGTGTTTATAGGCAGTTTTATTACACATCTTCTTCCCATCTATGAATATTCCAAGACTTTGTGTCATTTCACTTATAATGAGGAAAGCATTAACATTTACTGGTCACGTATCATGTACCCTCATAAGAATCTTCTATCAGGTGGGGTAGGTATCATTATTCAAACTTTATAGACGATGAAACAGGCTCACAGATGACAGGTAATTCTGGCAGGAATCACAAAGTCAAATCGGCTTCTGGAGTCTGCTGCTGCTCTACCGTGACGCCTCCATGTCACCACTACTAACTTTGCCTGAAGGAACCACGACTTGCAGTTTCTACCCCCCATGGTCAGTGACCATGAATACAAATGACCCTTACTCCAGGTGACCCTGAAGTTTCAGGAAGATGACAAACAGATTCCCCCTAAATTTGGAACAGTAATATTGATTATAGGTAAGAATAAAATATACCAAAACATCACTACAAAAATTTAGCATTACTTCACCAAGAGGAATAAACTGAAACCGTCAGTTTCTTGGAAGGGTGAGAAGATAGTTTATCCTGCTTTCTAATACCACCACCTATTTGTGACTGTAAACTTCCCACCACTTATCTATGGTTCAAACCTAGGGCAAGAGCTAGCATTTTATTTTAAAAAAGATTTGTTTCGTAATTTTCCCATTTGGACAGTGTGATGGTTAATGCTGGGTGTCAACTTGATTGGATTAAAGGATACAAAGTATTAATCCTGTGAGGGTGTTGCCAAAGGAGATTAACATTTGAGTCAGTGGGCTGGGGAAGGCAGACCCACCCTTAATCTGGTAGGTACCATTTAATCAGCTGCCAGCCAATATAAAGCAGGCAGAAAAACGTGAAAAGGTGAGACTGGCCTAGCCTCCCAGCCTACATCTTTCTCCTGTGCTGGATGCTTCCTGCCCTTGAACATCAGACTCTTAGTTCTTCAGTTTTGGAACTTGGACTGGCTCTCGTTGCTCCTCAGCCTGCAGATGGCCTAGTGATCATGTAAGGTAATACTTAATAAGCATCCATCCGTCCATCCAATTAGTTCTGTCCCTCTAGAGAACCCTAATACAAACAGGTAGTGGAATATTGAAATAAATTTTATTGGAGCAGCCTAAAAAAGCATATGTAACTTAGAGTAATAGTAGTTAAATAAGACAAAGAAATTAAATAAGAAAAACATATTTAGACAGAGTAACATACCAAGTTTAGTTTCGGGAGAATTAAGCAGCTGCTCTAAAGACTGTGTATATGTGCTGGCGGAAGACACAGACTCAGTATCAGTTGTCTCCATGCCTTCTCCCTCTTCCCGGGTTACAGTGTGCATGTCTAGAAGTGGGAGGTCTGTGTTTCTCCTTTCTCGAAGGTTCTTCAAAGATTGTTGAGAGGAAACTGGGCCTATTAGATTTTTTTTAAAGGTTAAGTGTGAGATTGTTCAAAATCTATTGATTCGACCTTACAGAGATACACAATAAAATGAAAATATCAAATGATAAGAGCAGAGGAATTAAGTAACTATAAGACAAATGAAAGGTACATGAAGAATTGCTAAAACATTTCTTAAAATTTAGTCATCAAGGCTGGGCATGGTTGCTCACACCTGTAATCCTAGCACTTTGGGAGGCTGAGGCGGGTGGCTCACGAGGTCAGGAAGTTCAAGACCAGCCTGGCCAAGATGGTGAAACCCTATCTCTACTAAAAATACAAAAGTAAGGTGGGCACGGTGGCAGGTGCCTGTAATCCCAGCTGCTGGGGAGGCTGAGGCAGAGAATTGCTGGAACCCAGCAGGCAGAGGTTGCAGTGAGCTGAGATCACGCCACTGCGCTCCAGTCTGGTGACAGAGCGAGTCTCAAAAGAAAAAAAAAAATTTAGTTATCAAATATCAAACTTTTAACTACGTTAGTCATTTTAGCGGAAGCTATAAATTAATTGCTACTAGCTAAGATAAACTGTGAGATAACACAGCTCATAATACAGTACTACTTGTTTTTTATTAATTTAGAGTAGAGGGCCATACTGATGCTAAATACTGGCCAAAATTAAAAAACTAGATTCTAGCAATTTTTCAGGATTAGGTATTTGAGATTGCTGCATACTTCTTGAAACACACTTGCTGAAATCTGCTCGGTAGACATCCTCGATCACTGCCCTTATACTTTTACCTCTGCAGCTTCTTAACTGTTGCTGCTCATACCTACAGTGTTCATACAATAAGAGCCCAGAATCCAGAGCATGGACCTAATCAATTACATTGTCTAGCAAGACTTTCCTGCTTGCTGATGAACTGTAAAGTGCTTTTTTTTTTTTTTTTCCCCTGAGACAGGGTCTCACTCTGTCACATAGGTTGGACTGCAGTGGCACAATCTTGGCTCACAGCAACCTCTGCCTCCCAGGCTTAAGCCATCCTCCCACCTCAGCCCCACGAGTAGCTGGGACTTACAGGTGCATGCCATCCTGCCCAGATAATTTCTATATTTTTAGTAGAGATGAGGTTTTACCATGTTGCCCAGACTGGTCTCAAACTCCTGGCCTCATGTGATCCACCTGACTTGGCCTCCCAAAGTGCTGAGACTGCAGGCGTGAGCCATCATGTCTGGTCTAAACTGTCAAGTTTATCAGGCCCTTTGACATCTATTAGTTTATTGACCCTGAAACATCTGAAGTTCAGATAAATTTAATGACTTTGCCCAAGGTCTCACAACTGAGTTAGAAACCAGAATTGTAATCTAGATTTTTAAACTTCAGATTTCCTTTATTTTGCATTTCATTAAGTTGCCTTAGGCCTGATTGCCCTTTCTAAAGCATTTTCCTGAGTTTCTGATAAGCTGACTGCTTATTCCACTGCTAATTCCTAGATTGCAATCTCCTGTACGACCTTTGCCCTGGCCAATTACTTCTTTTGTTGATTCTTTGGCGTATGTTAAATTATCCTGAAGTTGCTTTTTTACCCTAATAAGTGACCGATAGCTGCTAATGCTCCAGTGACAGTATTTCCCCTGGGAAACCAAAACACTATCAACTTGCTACTAAAATACTGCATCATCATGGCTGACATTTTTCCACTTCTTCCTGGAAGCAGAATGGAAGACACTGGGTGCGGCTGAACTAAAACTCCAACTAGTTGTAAATGTGAAAGGAAAGAAGCTATATCGGCCATGCAATTCTACACATTCAGTGCCGCCTGAGTGTTTCTAAGCTCCTTGCTCTATCTCTAATGTTTCTATTTAAAAGTAGACAAACTGGATGACTAACAACAGAGAACACGAAACAAATCTGGTGAATACTAGAATTAAGACATATGTTATGAGACTACCAGAGTATGTTTAAGTCAGAGAAAAAGAAATACTCCTTTCCACTGAGGGTAAGAAATACATCAAAGTCAGCATTCTAAGAGGTTATACAGGCCTCTGTAAGTATAATCAAGGAAGGATTCAGATGGTTCAAATATCTTCCTAGTAAGCAAATCCAAAATTCATTAATCACAGAATTGACACTGGTGACACCTAGTAAATTTTCTTTCTTATGAATTTGGAAGAATGTATTTAAGAGACACAAATACACGAAAATTTGAACAACTAATATTTCCATGTGTACATACATACTTCTTGTGGTCGGTTCATTCTTAAGCTGGAAGAGCTGTGCCTCCACCTTGGAGAGCTGCTGCTGTAACGTCTCCACTGTCTTTCTGTGCTCTTCCTGCAAATGTCGCACTTGATCTCGGAAGCTATTTCGAAGGACCTCATTCTGGGATGTTAGCTGACTCACAGTCTGTGTATGCTCAGACTTCATCATCATGTTCTCTGATTGTATGGAACACAATCTGAAAGACGAGAAACTTAGTTCACAGAAGATCTTTCAACTTTATATGCTGACTTTAGCCTTTCTCCACTGGGTTCTGCAAGAGAATTAGCTCTAAGACCTCTATTGAATGTATGAATCAACTTCTTTCCTACATACCTACATTGTACTCATTGTGTAATAACTTGATGAGAACTGACACTGGCTGTCATCTAGTTCAAATAATCTGCGTTCCACATTTCAGATGAAGAACCCCAGTTGAGAAACTGCGTTGTGTGGTCCAGACTAGGAACTTCATGGTTCATCAGAAAAAAGGACTATATTTAAAGCATAAAATAATGATACTTTTAATTAGTCCACTTCTTCATGTCATCGTATGTGGTAGCTCACATAAATATAAGATTAATCTCCCTTTTATCTACTACCCTGAAAATATGAGGGGGGGAGGGTGGGAAAAAAAACTCACACTCTTAATTCACTCAGAAAACTTTAGAGGAAAGTATCCATTTTTGAGTCGATTAACACAAACCACAAACACGGACTTGGTTTACTATAGCTGTTTCAAATCTCACTGCACGTAAGAATCTCTGGAGTACCTTGTTGAAAATAGAGACATCTAGTTTTCATGTTACACCCACTGGATCAGCATCTCAGTAGTATTCTAGGAATTCCCTACTTTTAGCAGTTTTCAATGGGATTTTTATGTGCTCAGCCTGAAACTAACCAGTGGGCCTACAATTTGGGAACCATCACTTTTAAGGGTTTACCTGTAGTTTTCATGTTTTATATGTTTGGCTTTGGTAAAACAAAAGAAAACAAAAAAACATTTCCTTTTACACAGGGGATCCACATAATTCTCTCATAAAAATACAAAAGCTGTCGGAGAAAAAAGTAAAAGCCCTCATTAATTACTCTCATGCCCGGCAGGATGAAATCCCAATTCCACAGGTAGATAAATGTTGTTAACAGTTTAGCCTATACTTTTGCAAGATATTTTTTCTACCTGCTACACTTATACGCACCATATAAGGTTTAAAACAGGGGTTACTGGCTGAAGAGAGAAATGCAATAAAATACCATGTTTTAGAAAAGAAATCTTAATTACTAAGTTCATATTGATTAATGAATCTAGAAAATACTAGTGTATACACATTTCACTGCAAGCATTTTGTTCAAACAATATCTACCAAGAAAGTAAAGGAAGAACCATCGGTAGTTACAAAAATAGTCTAAGCAGGATAAATATTAGAGGTAGGGTAAAGTGTCTATTCTCAGGCAGTATCAGTGACATTTCTAAATTTACCTACTTGAAAGCTAAATATTTAAACCCCCCATCTGGAATAACAATGACTGTGCTGATGGAAGTTCACTGTTCTGTCTCAGTTGTTACTGAAGTGTTTATATTAACTGTAGTCTCTGGGTAATACAGATATTAATTAGCCTAATTATCACATTCCTCTGGAACCATTTTCATAATCTACTACAGAGAAAGTATAAATATTAAAACATTTTTAAAAGTGGAGACTATATAAAGAGGCTATTTCTTCATACTTGGACACAGACAGTAACAATACTGTTAAGTTTTCAACATTTCTGAAGAAGAGCAAAGACTCCTAAAGATACCTAAAAATGCTATGAAAAGTGACTGGCACATAGTAGGTACTCAAAAAACACTTACTGAAAGATTGAATTACTTTAGAGGAATCAACAGTTACTTTGTGTTAGCAATGTAATTTGCAATAACTTTCCTAAAGAATAAGTGTTGGGGAATATCAAGCAAACATCACCTAATCTCATGGTAAACCCTGGTGATAGGCAGCTAGAAAACTGGTCCATCTCCCTGAAACTTTTGGTTTACATGATAAACAAGCAAATTACACTGTTAACAGACAGAAGCTACAAAAAGCTAAGTGCTTTCACTTTTCAGATTAGCATAAGATTAGATATATATTATATAAGAAAATCTGTGATAAAAGTATCTTAACACCCTTGATAAAAGATGCTCAATGAAGAATTCTTTTCCTCAGCCTAATACTCCTATTACCCAATTTCTTTATCACAGGAGTTGAAAACTTCTTGTTCACAATCTATTTATTTTGCCAATACTCCTAATGTCTATTTAAAGTATTATAGTGATGAACAAAATACGACAAATTGAAGATAGAATTGCAAAGATAAGTTGCATATTCTTTTTCAGTTAGCAACTATTTGGGTGTTTTCTTTTAGAAAAAAAAAATGCTTATGATTTGATACCTGGGTTGGAAAGTAGTATGTTTTTGTTTTTTTAGAGAAACATCCTAGCCAAGAAGGCTATAGGAGACGCAGAATACTGGATGAGCAGACAGACATTAGTTGTTCTTAAAAATGAAAAATACAAAAGCAACGTAAAAGGTGAAGCTCTAAGGTAGATAAAGCAAAGTTACCAAGCCTTTAGATATGTCTATTTTTAATTTTCTCATCTGCATTTATCTCAAGGAGCAACATATTAGAAGTTTCAACAAAGAAATACATTGCTGTCTGGTACAGCGTTAGTGCTGCTAACAATCTTACTTTTCCCGGAGTTCCGCCTCTTTGGACACAGTTTCCTGAAGCATCTTGTTGTGCCTTTCTAGCAGTGTATCATGTTCAGACTGCAATGTTTGAAGTTCAGATACATTAATCTGTAAGTTATTTTGGCTATCTTGTAATTTGATTTTTAGTTGGTCAATCAGCATTTCCAGATGTTCCCTAAAACAGAAATACAGTTTTAAAATTTTTTGAAAAAGGTGAATTTGATTTTGTGGTTTTAAATATAGTTTAACCATTTAATCTTTCAATGTCATACTCTTGGATGATTCTGAAGGAAATATAATAGTCAGAAGAATTCAAGACTAGGATTAAATATAATACAAAAGATATAGCCAGATTTAAAATCTTAGGCACTATAGATTTACAAAAAATTTCTCCAAAATTTAGAATTTCATATTCAAAAAGGGGCATCAAAATAGCCTATTTTATGTTACAGGACTATGTCAGCTAAAGAAAAAACGTCACGCTATTTTTTTTTTTTTTTTTGAGATGGAGTCTGGCTCTGTTGCCCAGGCTGGAGTGCAGTGGTGCAATCTTGGCTCACTGCAACCTCTGCCTCCCAGGTTCAAGTGATTCTCCCGACTCAGCCTCCCGAGTAGCTGGGGCTATTGGCACACACCACCACACTCAGCTAATTTTTTATTTTTAATAGAGATGGGGTTTCACATGTTGGTCAGGTTGGTCTTGAACTCCTGACCTCAAGTGATCCGCCAGCCTTGGACTCCCAAAGTGCTGGGATTACAGGTGTGAACCACCACACCCAGCGCACTCACAGTTCTTAAATGGTTGTTTTAAGAATGGTATGTCAGACCAAGTTACAGTGAAAGATAATCCCTGAAGAAAAGCAGGTCATTTCAGACTTGGAAAAAAAACTAGGTGGAAATAGTTAAAATCCTAATTCTGCCACAATAAGTACAATACACTATTAGTTTCTTTTTTTAAAAAATGTATTTATAAGAAAGTAGAAAGAACACAAAACATTTACATTCATATAATCTGAACTCAAAATTTAGGCATGGTGAAAAATGGCTCTTGAAAATGGTGACATTTTTATATTTATGAAAAATATCAGTATCTAATTTCCCCTTTATATAATGAGCTACTGGAAAGAAAATACCATGTTTCAGTCTACAGTCTCTATATTTAATAGATTCCTAATTGAAAGTAACAGAAACATAAACATACAAAAATTCATAATAATTAGTCTTGTTTAGAACAGTAAGAGTCAGATGTAAAACTGCTTTGAATACTGAACCGCTACTCAAAGACAAAACACAGATGCCATGGAATGCCCCATCTCTTACTCCCAGTGCAAACAGGATTTGTATGCTACTTTTAAAGCAGCATAAACAATATACCATTCAAATAGAACTGAAATGGTCATTAACAAGAAAAGTTTAACTCTAGACCAAAATTCAGTATGAAATTTAAAATTTTTTGAAATAAGTAAAATATTTTAAAGCAACTTCTGTTTAACCTAAATTAATGGCAAATAAGTATACTTCGCATTTTAATTTTCACTTCTGAATTTTCAAAATTGGAAAAACAAATCATAATGTAATTTTAATGCCGGTATTTCTACCATGACAAGATCTTATTAAGACCAGATTGAACTGTTAGCCTATTATCTCATATCCTGGCCTCACTGTGCACTTTAACATCTAATTTTAGAGTTTGTGACAGTGTCCTTTGTAATGAAGTTTCCCTGTTACTGTCCGCAGACACAGTGAAGCCAAGAAATCCTGTTTTCTTTGGTAACAATATACATAATTTCACAGTTAAAATCATAATAGGATTTTAGGCTAGGTGCTGTGGCTCACGCCTGTAATCCTAGCACTCTGAGAGGCTGAGGTGGGTGGATCATCTGAGGTCAGGAGTTTGAGACCAGCCTGGCCAACATGGTGAAACCCTGTCTCTACTAAAAATACAAAAATTAGCTGGGCGTGATGGTGCATGCCTGTAATCCCAGCTACTCAGGAGGCTGAGGCAGGAGAATCACCTGAACCCGGGAAGCGGAGGTGACAGCAAGCTGAGATTGCATCACTGCACTCCAGCCTGGGCAACAAGAGCGAAACTCTGTCTCAAAAAAAAAACCACACAAAAAAACACAAAAAACCACACACAAAACATAATAGGATTTTCAATCTACTTGGTGAAGAACCTGCACTGTGGGAGGAAAACTCTGCATATTTAATTTAGACTTTACCTTTCTTGTTTAGCGCCCTCAGTTTCAGCCTGAGACATAGATTTATTTTTCTGTTGTTTTAGAACGTTATGAACTCGGACTTTGTAGCTCTCGAATTCAGAGGTTACAGCAGCTTGTTCTGCCTATAACATTTAAAAGAGAGAAACGTTTTGTATCGTAACAGGGTCCTTCTATTTTCTTTCAGAGATTAACAAATTGAGATAAAAACCTGTTTTTTAAAGTAAGAAAAATGGCTGACATACTTTTTGGTTCCTTGATTAACCCTGCTAAAAAGTATACTTCTGTTGGCTTTACACTTAATTTTCTTTTCAATTGATACATAATTGTACATATTTATGGGGTGCATGTGATATTTTGATGGATACACACAATGTGTAATAAGCAAATCAGGGTAATTAGGATATCCATTGCCTCAAATATTTATCAGGTCTTCGTGTTGGGAGGCCTTACACTTTTTAAAGGTCTCTCAATAATATATTTTTTTTCCTGATAAGAGATCCGTTTCTACCATGTCTTCTACCCTGGTAGATTAATTTACTAACCATACATTTTATAGTGGCACTATGTGCTTTTGGAACTTTATAAACATTTTCTCTTATGATATCCCTTTTATCAATTTGAGACAAATTAACTCAAATAAATTATTTGAACTTCAGTTTTCAAAACAGAGTGGTAAGCGTTAGGTTCTAGGTCTTCCACTTTCCTGAAGTGATCTGTGAACTCCCACAACAGTGTTGCCATGATTGCTTAAATCAGACCTGCATCTAACACAACCACTGCACTTTGCCTGTTCTGGATGATGACAAGAAAGTAGGCCCCCACAGCCATGCTACTAAAATGTTATTTTATCATCATTTAGCCCTCAGAAAGAACTGTAACACCTTCCTAATAAAAAAAAGTTTTATAAAGAAGTGACACATAAATTGCAAAACAAGGTTGAAATGGAAAAAACATCATGTTTTTCCTTTTGGCAGAAAAAGTGATCCAAATTACGACTGGGGTTGGCACGGGATTGGGGTTAGAGGCAGATTAACTGAACAGGTCTTAATCTAATAAGTGCTCTTAATAGCAAAATACTGAAAAGGGAGAGCACAGCCCTGGAGTAAACACCAATGACTAGCTGACAATAAAATCCCAGTGGCTCGCTGTGGCTGCCCTGAAGAACGCACCTTGGCAGCACGGCTCTCCTCCTGTAGCGCTGTCACTCTCTGCTGGTACGCACTTAGCGTACGCTGGTGCTGTTCTGCAGAGGTTTTCAGGTGCTCGTGGATTTTGTGTTTCTCTGATGTTATTTCAGCCAGCTGTATCTGGGGGTAAATCTTTAAATTTAGCTTTAGCAAATCCTACCTTCACTAGTTAAAGAGGTTTTCCTTAAAACACAAACTTTAGGTTTGAGACATAAGTACATATAAGGCATAATTAAGTAGCGAAATATTTTTATGTATTATTATTGAAAAAGTAGAGACAAGTAGAACATTTTCTCACTAATTTATCTTTTCTTAAACCAACATCAATTAAAAAAAATGAAAATCCCAGACTACATATTTAACATACAATGTCTAAATACTTCAAGACATTATATATATAAAAATATATACAAACGTAGCAAACATATAAAATCATTTTATAAACTGTTTCTTGTGACTGTAATATCATTTAGAAAGTTCAGATGCATGCTTATTTTGCACTATTCTACCGTGTATTACAAATTTCCAAATATATGAAAATAATCTAGCTTGAGCTAAACAATATACTCCAGTTATATACCAGACTTGATTTATTGTTGCAAATTCCTCAAAATGTTGAGGAATCTTTCTAGATATCCTTATAGGATAATTAGTAAAATCTCTGAATGGTACCTCACTTCTACATGAAAAAACATTTTTTTAATCTTAAAAAGTAAAAACCTTACTTTATAGACTTCTACTTGCTGCTGGCTTGCCTCCAGCTCACCTTTTAAAGATGCTTGAAGTATTAAGTGATCAGTTTCCTAAAGAATGAGAATCTTGGTTAAATTTTTAAAAATGTTACTCATAAATAAATTATGAATAAGTACTAAAATATGAAACTGAAAAATTAACATACTGCTTGCTTTGAATCTGCCAGTTCCTTTTTGGTTTTCACAAGCAATTGCTTGATTTTGGTATTTTTTTCTTCATATTGTTGTACTGAAGACTGTAATGAAGCTAGCACAAGAAATAATTTCAGCAGAAAAAGATGAAACATTTTTTATGAGTGAATTTGAATACACAAATAATGTCTTCTTTATATTGGCTCATCGTTAAAAGAAGCCTGTTTTAGCTTTTTATTATGGAATACTTCAAACATATGTGACAGTAGTAACAACAGTGCCATAAACTCTACTGTACCCATCTCCCAGCTTTTACAATTACAACCCATGACAATCTCAGTTAACCCAGACAACAGCAAGGTACTTAAGAAATGTTAAAGTGAATAAATGTGGACTATAAACATCTTAATGGCAAACAGTTTTATACCCATTCTGGGCCCCAGTAACATTTATCCTGTTAAACACTTGACAGTGAAAGACTGGTGAAATAAACAAGAAATGCCCCCCACTAAATCAAGTTGTTATGATGAAATAATTAAAAGGTAAAGTGAACTTTATTTAACTCACTTATTTCTTCTTGTAGGGTTTCTTGTTTCTGTTTTTGAATTTTTATTTCTTGCTCCAAATCTTCTATCTTGTTGTTTTTATTACTTAACTTTTGATTTAGTTCTTTCATCAAACGTTCATAATCAGCTATTTCCATATTCATCAATGTGGTTTGTTGGGCATCCTGCACATTTTATAAATAAAAGATTTAGACAATAGTAGATCAGTTCATTTGTAAAATTGCTAAAATGATGCCACAGCAATAAATTGATGCTTTTCTGTAATACTCAAATCGTTTACACTGTAATGAAGAAATGAGGAGTTGGATATTTTCTAGTTTTTAATTTCACAAAATATTTTCTAACAGTTTAACCCAACTTTCTTAGTTTCATTTTATTTCATTATAACGAACTACAATGGGCAGTTGTAGCCTGTGAAGCTTGTATTTATGAAATACTAATACTTCAAGTGGCTCTTATATAATAGTACATTTCTTTTTAGCCTAATTTTTGAAGGAGTAAAGTCAGCCAAAGTTTTAAGTATAATACAAATTTCAAGCTTTGACATTCATTAAATCTTAATGTGTCATACAACAATTATGTACACAAAATGAAATGTCAAACCAAAATCTTATAACTCATGAGCTTAGATTCTTCTGAAAGGACTGGTACTTAGACAAGTTAAATTTTCAATTTTTTGAGCAAGTAATTTATAAAGCATTATTTTAGTACCACAAGTAACATTCTAAAATATTTCTTTTCAACATGTATAGAATAGTTTAACAATGCAGGCTGGGTGCAGTGGCTCACACCTGTAATCCCAGCACTTTGGGAGGCTGAGATGGACAGATCATTTGAGGTCAGGAGTTCAAGACAAGCCTCACCAAAATGGTGAAACTCCTTCACTACCAAAAATATAAAAAGTTAGCCGGGTATGGTGGTGCATGCATGGAATCTCGGCTACTCGGGAGGCTGAGGCTCAATAATTGCTTTGAACTTGGGAGGCAGAGGTTGCAGTGAGCCGAGATCAGGCCACTGCACTCCAGCCTGGACCACAGAGCAAGATCACAGAAAGAACAGAACAAACAGAACAACAAAACAGAACAACGTGAATATTATACCAATTTTGACCCTAGTGTTTTATTTTACCTTTTTAACCAGCTCTAATTCTTGCATGGTTTTCTGAAGCTGTTTCTTTTCCTTTTGAAGTTGTACCTGAAGTTCTTCAAGTTCATTTACAGTAGTGGCATGTTCCTGAAATTAAAAATAAAAACAACCCACACAACCCAACCAACATTAAAAAGGTATTTTTAAGGGGCTTTAAAATAAATCTGATGGTCGGGCGCAGTGGTTCACGCCTGTAATCCCAGCACTTTGAGAGGCCCAGGCGGGCAGATCACAAGGTCAGGAGACTGAGACCATCCTGACTAACACGGTGAAGCCCCGTCTACTAAAAACACACACAAAAAATTAGCTGGGCTTGGTAGTGAGTGCCTGTAATCCCAGCTACTCGGGAGGCTCAGGCAGGAGAATGGCGTGAATCTGGGAGGCGGAGCTTGCAGTGAGCTGAGATTGTGCCACTGCACTCCAGCCTGGGCAACAGAGCAAGACTCCGTCTCAAAATAAATAAATAAATAAATAAAATAAATCTGACACACTAAAATACAAAAAGTTTGGTAATATTTCAATGTTTAAAATATATACACCCCCAAATCACAGCATGGATTCTCAAATTTATGGTTGGTATTAAGGAATTAATGAACTGTGCTGTATTCATAAATGCTACTCTTTAGTAAGTCTTCCCTTCATTTAAATATTTTGGTAAATGCATCATATATATGTGAATCAATCTCGCAGGATTGTTTTTACCTTTATTTTCTGTTCTTTCTGAAGTTTTTCAGCTTCTAATTCTTTGTCTACCATTGCTTTGGCTCTCTGGACTTCTAAAATCTGTACTTCTAATAATTTGGCATTAGACTGTAGTGTCTCAATACGAGCCAGCAGATCTTCATTATCAGAATTTATTTTTTCACACTGAAATGACAAATGATTCATTACTATAAACATGCAGAAAACATATACAGCAGAGAAGAATGAACAGGTACACTAATGAGAATACTGGCATAGTGTGACAAATGAAGATTTCAAAATCCATGCTATAGAACGATAATGTTAAATTAAGAATAAGTTTCAAAATCTGTCACTGAAACACTAATATGGTAAACCTTACAAGAGACCAGGTGCACTGGCAGAGTAAAGAACAGAAATGAAAAAACAAACCTACCCCCAACCAACCAACCAATCCTCTAGGAGAATTAAGACTAGAATAATAAGCAAGATAGTTGCTAGCTGTTTCGTCTTATTCTTCTCTCACAAGTGGGGAGGAGGGTAAAGCGGGGGGTGGGGGGAATAAATTCTGTTTCCGACTATTTTTTTTTATGTTTATGCACAAAGTATTGAGATTAAAATACACCTGTTATAGTTTTCATTTTTGAATTTATTAAAAAATTACCTGCAAAGTCGAATTTCTTAGTTGTCTTGTAAGGTCTTCAACATGATGCTCAAAATTGTTAGCACGTTCTTTTTCCACATCCAGTTGCTCTGACTGCTTTTCATATTCTAATAAAAGATTCTTCAATAAAAGAAGGATTTAACTTTGGTATATTATTATGCATTCAACAGGTCAGACTTTATCATCAAGCCACCTTAAGATTCATGAGTCCATTCTGGATGCTTAAAATATTTACCCAAGTTGAACAGAATACCTAACTGGCATTAGGTAATAAAAATAGCACATTTTGGAAAACTTTTAGTATTGGAGGGTGGGGGAAATGTATGAAAGGAGAAGAAAATTTTAAATATAAACAATATAATAGCTCCAAGGTTAAATAGTCTACTCATTAACAACAATGAACTTCCAAAATGTAAACACAACTTAAGGATAGAGGATAAAAAGTTTAACCTGGATACCTAACTCCACCTGAAGAATTCTGATGAGAGAAATACTCCAGGCCTGGCCTAATATAAGGTAAAGGTGCTAATGAAAGAACACTGGAAGACATTCATAGATTTAGTCTCTCATACTCTGCAGTGACACTTTCAATATTTCCTGAAGAATCCAAAGCCAACTGAATTTGCTTTGATATTCCCAGTTGGCCTACTGAAGGACAGAATGATCAGACTTTTTTTTGCCACACACAAGCTAATTAGGTTATCCACCAAAATATGTAAATGAGATTGTTTTGAGACCACATGTAGTTCTTTATGTTCTTCTCTCTCTCCTTCCTTATAAGTCCTGTTTTTGCCTTTGTTTCTGGAAAACTTCTATTCTTCCCACAAATGTGCATGCAAAATTACTAGCAAAATGGTGTTTTTTTTTTTTTCCTAGAGGTTCATATTTATTGACATTTGACCTAGAGTCCTCAGCATAAGGAAGGCACAGCCCTGGGCCATGGGTAGGAAAATCAGCATCCTACTCTCTCCTCAATTCCATCTGTTAAATCCACCAACCCAAATCCCTCCCACCCCACTTGTAGTCCAAAGAAGATAAAATGATAAAATGATGTGCTGCTCTCTCAACAGTCAGCTGAGTCTGAATTGGAGGGAAGGAAGTATTTGAAGTTCTGCTCATTTAGTTCCAGAACAAGAAATAAGCAGAGGCAGGAGGTGGAGAGCAAAGATGCTGGCAGCCCTGTAGCTTGCTAGGTCTTTATAGCTGTGTCTCTGGATTTGTAGGCACTTCTCGACTTCTCAGCTCCCACACAATTCCTTGAGGCAGGCAACCAGTGACCGACATCGCATATACACCTGGCTTAAAGTTACTGACTCGCTGCCACTTGGAGACCCAGCTGTCCTCTGGACTCATCATCACAATGATTCCATCAAAGGAAGAGCTGGTGGAGTCATACACCATCTCTCAGTTACCTTTCATTTGTAGATATGCATCACAATTGTCAAAACCATCACATTCAAACTGGTCTATAATCTTGACCAGTCAACACAGCAAACAGGCCCGCAGATGCCGCAGGTCCTTCGGCACTGTCTCCAGGGCCATCTTCTCTGATGGGAAGAGCAACAGAGAGGTAGATGGCCATAGCCTGCGTACCCGCAGGAAGTAAATGGTGTTTTTAAAAAAATTTTTAACTTTTCATTTCAGGGGTACATGTGCAGGTTTGTTATGTAGGCAAACTTGTGTCACAGGGGTTTGTTGTACAGATTATTTCACCATCCAAGTATTAAGCCTAGTGCCCATTAGTTATTTTTCCTGATCCTCTCCCTCCTTCCACCCTCCGTTAGGCCCCAGTGTCTGTTGTTCCTCTGTATGTGTCCATGTGTTCTCATCATTTAGCTCCCACTTGTAAGAGAACATGTGGTATTTGGTTTTCCGTTCCTGCATTAGTTTGCTAAGGATAGTGGCTTCCAGCTTCATCCATGTCCCTGCAAAGGACATAATCTCATATTTTTTTTATGGCTATGTAGTATTCCATGGTGTATATATACCAATTTTCTTTATCCAGTCTACCACTGACAGGCCTTTAGGTTGATTCCATGTCTTTGCTATCATGAATAGTGCTGCAGAGAACATACGCGTACATATGTCTTTATTACACAATGACTTATATTCCTTTGGGTATATACCCAATAACGGGATTGCTGGGTCAAATGGTATTTCTGTTTTTAGGTCTTTGAGGAATATGTTTTCCACAATGGCTGAACTAATTTACACTCCCACCAAAAGTGTAAGTGTTCCTTTTTCTCTGCAACCTCACCAGCACCTGTTATTTTTTTGACTTTTTAATAGTAGCCATCCTGACTTAAGTGAGGTGGTATATAAATGTGGTTTTATTGCTAGCACAGTGTTTATGTTTTCTTGCAAAGTTTACTTTTGGAAGTTCCACTGAGATACTATGCGTAAAAGAGAAATGACATTAACCAAGAGGACTGTGGAGCCTGGCAGTGGCCTTCCTCTGGAACTGGACCTCTTACGTCCTTGGCTTACCTCTGCAGGCTTCTCTAGTGGGTTTTTGTTTTTTTGAGATGGAGTCTCTGTTGCCAGGCTGGGGTGCAGTGGCACGATCTTGGCTCACTGCACCCTCCGCCTCCCAGGTTCCAGTGATTCTCCTGCCTCAGTCTCCCGGGTAGTTGGGATTACAGGCATGTGCTACCACACCCGGCTAATTTTTATATTTTTAGTAGAGACACGGTTTCACCATGTTGGCCAGGCTGGTCTTGAACTGACCTCAGGTGATCCACATGCCTCAGCCTCCCAAAGTGTTGGAATTACAGGCATAAGCCACTGAGCCTGGCCTCTGGTGGGTCTTCTGGGGCATTTACACTCTTTTGGATCGTGCTTGCCAGATCTTTTTTTTTTGAGATGGGTCTTGCTCTGTCGCCCAGGCTGGAGTGCAGTGGTGCAACTTCAGCTCACTGTAACCTCTGTCTCCTGGGTTCAAGTGATTCTCCTCCCTCAGCCTCCCAAGTATCTGGGACTATAGGCGTATGCCACTACGGCCAACTAATATTTGTATTTTTAGTAGAGACAGGGTTTTGCCATGTTGCCCAGGCTGGTCTCAAACTCCTGAGCTCAGGCAATCTGCCTGCCTAGGTCTCCCAAAGTGCTAGGGTAACAGGTGTGAGCCACCACGCCCGGCTCTTGCTTCCCAGATCAGATCCTTGACTGATGCACTTTTGTTTCTAATTCTGATCTACACATGGTGAATTATTTGACTCAACTGGTGGCTGACTGTTACAATCTGAATTTTGATTTTATAGTCTGTCCATTTAGTGATTTCGAAAAGTGGTAGAAGACAGCACTTGGGAATCTAGAATCTGGCTTTTTATTTTTTTTTGAGACGTTGTCTTGCTCTGTCACTAGGCTGGAGTGCAGTGGCGTGATCTTAGCTCACTGCAACCTCCATCTCCCTGCTTCAAGCAATTCCCCTGCCTCAGCCTCCCGAGTAGCTGGGACTACAGGCACACACCACCACATCTGGCTATTTTTTTTGTATTTTTAGTAGAGAGGGGGTTTCACCATGTGGCCAGACTGGTCTCGAACTCCACAGCCTCCCAAAGTGTGTTTTTGTATGTTTATTTATCTGAGTCTGCTACTTCCTGGCACACATGCACACAGGGCTGAGGTATCACTAGGGTCTTGTCTTTTCCATAGAAAGAAGATTCTGTGCTGCTTTTATATTTGGGTAGGCTCCTCTAAAAATCAGAGATATTTATCCACTTAGTCTCTAACTGGCCTTCTTCGTTTTTACTCATTCTGGTTCCACTGCTGTCAATAGCTGTAAAAACTGAATGGCTATGCTAAGGCATAATAAACAATGGCTCCCTATGGGAAATTCTGATTTTAATCAAGTTTTATTCCTAAGGGGAGTCTTGGAACAAAAACGAATGCCAGGCATACAAGATTCTACTTTTACTTTCCGTATGTAGGGCAGACACTTCTAAACATCCGAATAATTATAAATTATTGTTCCTCTAGGACTCCTGTGTGTTCAGATCTTTTAATAAACTGATACAAGTTATTACAAGTGATGTGAACACTGAAAAAAATAGCCAAATGAACAAACTCCAAAATTATTCAGTATCTTTATAATGATGCATCCTGAAGAACTTAATAGAGCCTAGGTATATATATTTTTAAAAGTGATTAACATTCTTAAACATTTCAGCACTTCTGGTTCTACCTTAAAGCCTGTCACATTTTTATACATAAGTTTATATTACATATGAAAATAAGGTAATGAAATTTGAAAATTTAAATCTACACGTGACAAAATTAGTATGCTCATAAAGATCTTATAAATCCATTAAAAAACCTATTTAAAATTTATATATGGGCTTCTTCATAAGAGCAAGTTACATGAGGAACTTGCTTCTTTACTTTTTTTTTTTTTTTTTTTTTTGAGATGGAGTCTCGCTCTGTCGCCCAGGCTGGGTGCAGTGGCACGATCTCAGCTCACTGCAACCTCCGCCTCCCGGGTTTACGCCATTCTCCTGCCTCAGCCTCCCGAGTAGCTGGGACTACAAGTGCCGCCCTCGCCAGCTAGATTTTATGCCTTTAGTAGAGACGGGAGTTTCACCAATATTATAGAATAATCGATCTCACAAGCCTCGTAATCCGCCCATCCAAGCTCCGCCTCCCAGGTTTACGCCATTCTCCTGCCTCAGCCTCCCGAGTAGCTGGGACTACAGGTGACCGCCACCTCGCCCGGCTAGTTTTTTTGTACTTTTTAGTAGAGACGGGGTTTCACCGTGTTCGCCAGGATGGTCTCGATCTCCTGACCTCGTGATCCGCCCATCTCGGCCTCCCAAAGGGCTGGGATTACAGGCGTGAGCCACCGCGCCCGGCCGCTTCTTTACATTTTAAGAGACCCTATAATCAATTAATTTCTTCCAGAGGTAGACCAGGCATATCAATTTCAAAGAGTTAAATCTTTCAATCTTTTCCTTTGTAATTCACTAAAATACTTTAGGTAGGAGTGCAGTGGTACAATCTCCCCGCTCGCTGCAACTGCCACCTTCCATGTTCAAGTGATTCTCGTGCCTCAGCCATCAGAGTAGCTAGGACTACAGGCGTGTGCCACCAGGCCCAGCTAAATTTTGTATATTTTGTAGAAACAGGGTTTCACTGTGTTGGCTAGGCTGATCTCAAACTCCTGGCCTCAAGTGACTCACCCACCTCGGCCTCCCAAAGTGCTGGAATTATAGGCCTGAGCAACTGCACCTGGCCTAAATTTAGTATTTAAAGTTTGAAAAAGTCTTTTGTATCCAGAAGTCAGTTAAAAGATCAAGTATTTCATTCTAGGTTTTTAAAAAATATTTTTCACAAACTTTTTTAATCCATCCAGAATACATTTTGGTATGTGGAGTGAAATAAAAAGCTAATTCCTTAGAAGGAATTTCTTTCTTCAATGGTTTCTGTTTCAAATTTTACTGGGATGGTATAGCTTAGTGGATGAAACAACAGATCTGGAACAAGACTGCCTGAATTCAAATTCCAGCTCTGCTCTGTCACTTGTTCTGTGACCCTGAGGTCTCTTAAGAAATCTGAGTCTGCAACTTTTGAGTTCTTTAATCGATTTATGCCTCAGAGTCCTCACTTGTAAAGTGTTGATGCTAAAATACTTGGGGGTTGTTTTGAGAATTAAGTGTACTGAGATATGTAAAGTGATTAGAAGAGAGCCTGGCACCTGTTTGTTATGTGAAAGTAACTATCTCTTCTGCTACGTTAATCTGTACCATTCCTGCATCAGAATTCTACCACATTACTGTAATTCTGTCACAAGTTTTAGTGTCTCTTTGAGTAGGATGTCACTTTATTCTTTTCATTAAAAAAAAAAAATTCAGCTGCTCTTGCTAGTTTTTTACTTAAAACTTAGAATTTTCTGTCAAGATCCAGCCAAAAAAAAATCTAAAATGTTTAATGAATTTGTTTTAGAATTTATAAGCCAATTTGAGAACTGATAGTTCAAATATAGTCAGTCGTCGTACGTAAGTTTTGCAGTTTTTTTCACTGAGTGCCAAAACTTCTCATTTAAGTGCTTCCTAAGATTGGATTTTATGGCTGTTGTGGTATTTTCTTTTTTTCATCAAATCCTGCCTGATTACCGCTCACTCTCTTCTCCCTACCCAACTAACTTTTCTACATAGTATGTATCTTCTATTTTTGTATGTTTGCCTGTTATTGCCATTGGGATTTCTTTTAAGTCCTAAGAGGACAGGAACTTAGTCTATTTGGTTGACCTCCAACTTGCCCCAGAACTCAGAACTCAGTCCTCAGTCTGCCATATAAAATTTGCTGAATGAATACCTGAAGAAATGTAGTGATGTCTATCTTGCATTCAGTGATTTTGTTGTACTTTCATTTTTAATTCTTATATTTTTAATAATACATTTTCGTGTTACTAAGATAAACAAGCATATTGCCTCCAAATAACAATGCTTCACCTTGTTTAAGCTTCAGGTTTATTCACTTGGCCAGAATAATATCAAATAGTAGCAGTAGTAATAGGTTATCTTTTTGTTACTGATTTTATTAGGAAATCCCAAAACAAAATTTTACTTTTATAAACAACAGTTTAAAGGCACTATTTAGGCCAGGTGCAGTGGTGCATGCCTGTAATCCTAGCACTTTGGGAGGCCAAGGCAGGTGGATCACGAGGTCAGGAGTTCAAGACCAGCCTGGACAGCATGGTAAAACTCTGTCTCTACTAAAAATATAAAAATTAGCCAGGCATGGTGGCATGCGCCTCTAGTCCCAGCTACTGGGGAGGCTGTGGCAGGAGAATTGCTGGAACCTGGGGGCAGAGGTTGCAGTGAGCCAAGATTACACCACTGCACTCCAGGCTGGGCGACAGAGTGAGACTTCATTTAAAAAAAAAAAAAAAAAAAAAGCCACTATTTAAAGCTTAACCACTTTAAAATCTTGATGTTAGGATTCTATTACATTGCACCCCAAAACAGAATAAAGATTTACTGAAAAATACAACGTGATTGTTTTACGGATGATAGTTTTACATTTCTACTACATTTCTTAGAAGTTATGATTATAACTTTTATAACTTGTTATTAAAATGACTATTTTTACCTTATAGCTTTCTGCTCCTTGAATGAGATCTCTCATGGAAGCAGATAATTGGTCCTTTTCTGACCGAAGAGATTCAAGTTCTTCCCTTACAGTCTGGGTCTGTTTTAAATACAAGTAAAATTAAAGAGGTTTTTGTTTTCTTTTTTTAATGGATAGAAAAACTCCTGATTTTTAAAAATATAAGATTCCTGAATCTTACATTTTTAAAGTAAGCTCACCTCTTTTCTGCTGGAATCTAGTTCTTTCTTTGCCTTCACAGCAACTAATTTTATCCTATTTATTTTCTCCTCCTTTTCTTTGCATTCTTTTTCCAGATTTTCTAAAAATAGAAAATAAATGGATTATATACGAATTCAAAAGGAAAAAATTCAAATTACTTGCTTATTTTAGCCCTAGATTATTTGGGAGCACAAAATTGGTAATTTGATATTAAAATAAGCAGTAAAAACAGTAATATCATTTTTTAAAGTGGAAACTTATTCATTATGTGAGGCAATGTAAAAAGTTTCCATTGTCTTTAATCCTCCAAAATAGTCTACTTTTTTCTAGCCATTTCATAAGTTTCTAGGAATTACAGGCTTTCAAAACTTCTCATTAGATTTCCTGGAAATGCAGGTATGCCAGGACTTTAGACGATAGTGTGCCAATTAGGATCAAGTACTGGAGATATCAGATGCAGATCAGTATTTACGCTCCATAGGTACACTCCTCCTCCTGGCTGGTGGGTCTGACTTTCACAACTAAACCTGTAATATGTTTTACCTATCCAATATGGTCTCTCTGTTAACTTCTTTAGCTACCTACCCCATTTGAACTCCAGAGTTCAGGACTTCTTGGTATTTGTTTCTAAAAATTCAGTTATGATCCAAATTTCTGTCCTGGCCTATTAATTTACTTGCACCAGTGCCTTCCCTCTGGCTACCACAGTGAAGTGTCTGTGTGCGGAGCAAAGGCCAATCATTCCACATCTGCATTTCATCCTATGTCTCCTTACCTACTCAATCAAGCATCAGAGCAACAATTCTCCCTCCTTCTTCTCCAGCAGCAATTTTCCCCTTTCTAGCAGATTTTTTCCCAATATTTTATAAACATGCAACAAGAAAAATTACCATCAAGAAATTAAGGCCAGGAATAAATAGTGAAAGCAGTTAGAGAGGGTAGGGGATAGGTGAAACATCTCAAACATGCTGTTATTCTTCCCATAAAATAAAAAATTAAACCACAAGGTCCCTCTAGTTTTGTCCCATTGCTTTTTCTTTCCCCTATAGCAAATCCCTTGAAAAGAGTCATCTATATATGCTCTTAAACATTGCCTCCCCCATTTTTTTCTAGAATCAACTGCAATCAAGCTCTGGTTCCAGCATGTCATGGACACTGACCTCTATATGTTGCTTAAGGCAGTGGTCAGTTCTCAGTACTCATCTTATTTAATACATTAGCAGCACTAGCAATGGCTAACCACTTTTTCCCTCTTGAAGCACTTCACTTCGTGTCACTTGCCTTAGCTTTCAAGACATTTTATGTTCCAGGTTTTCCTACCTCACTAGCTGTTCCTTCTCAATTTCCTGTGTTGTCTCTATCTTCTCTATCTTTACATGAATGGACAATTGTCTCTGGTCTCCATCTTTTGGCTATACTCCCTTGGTAATGTCAATCTCCCAGCCCTTTTTTTTTTTTTTTTTTGAGACAGGTCTTGCTTTGTCACCCAGGCTGGAGTGCAGTGACATGATCTCGGCTCACTGTAAGCTCTGCCTCCTGGGTTCCCGCCATTCTACTGCCTCAGCCTCCCAAGTAGCTGGGACTACAGGCGCCCGCCACCACGCCTGGCTAATTTTTTTTTTTTTTTTTGTATTTTTAGTAGAGACGGGGTTTCACCGCGTTAGCCAGGATGGTCTCCATCTCCTGACCTTGTGATCTGCCCACCTCAGCCTCCCAAAGTGCTGGGATTACAGGCGTGAACCACCGCGCCCCCTCTCCCGGCTTTTATGCCCACTCTTTAACTACAAATATTTATCTCTAGCTTAGGTCTCTCCCCTTAACTCCAGATTTGCGTAGCATTCTAACATCTCTACTTGGACTGGTATTTAAACTTACTTCTAAAACTGAACATCCCAATCTGCCCCAATAACCTATTATAAACAACTGGGAGTCATTCTACTCTTCAACTTCCCTTACCCTAAGCTAATAGGGCACTAAATTCAGGGATCATTGGCACATTACATACTTTGTTTCCTGATCCTTATATGGTAATAAAAGAGCTATCCTATAATGTTACTGTGAGGAATAAATGGATGAGATAAAGCCCTAACTCCTCTGCATGTCAATCATACTGTTGTGTTTATGATCTGGCTCTTACCTCTCCAGGAACTTCCTATATGTGCCTTGATGTATGCTATATGTCAACCTACAAGCACCTGCTCTTCCTTCTTCCTAGAATACCTTTCTTCCTGTGTAAAATTTCTCATTCTTCAAGACTCGGCTGAAAACACTATTCTATGCTGCTTTTCTTAACTCAAAACAGTGTAAGTTCCTATGCTGTCAGTGCTGTATCTTGTCCACACCTCAAACTACTGCAATAACAGTGAGATCTTTGAGCACATGGTCTGTACCCTCAACCACTTTTCTATCACCAGTGTCTAGAATACTTGGGCATTTAAATAAAGTTTGCTAAATGACTGAAAAATCCAAAATAAATCAGGAAGCCATTTATAAATCACATCAATCTTGCCTGGGTTAAACAATAGAAAGTAACACTTTTGAAAGAGAAGGCAAACAGGTGTCAGAAGGGCAAGAACGTGAGCTCCAGGAAAAGACAGCTACGAACTGTGCTTTTAACAACTCATTATTTGGCTACTGTATTTCCCAATCTATTCTAACACTAACAAGAATCTGTCTAATTGTGACAACATCTGTAAAACCATAGTTACCTAATTTTTCTTCCAACTCTTTCACTGAAGACAGAGGATCATTTTGTACAGAAGGTGATTTCGCTAAGGAATCCTAGATTTTACAGGGGGAAAAAACAAAACAAAACAAAATAAAAATCAGAATCAGAATTCATTTTCCATAATGAACCGGCCATCATATTAAGCATAAAGAAATCATTATCAAAGAGAATTCCTACAAAAAGCAATTTGGTCAACAGATTTTCCCTTGTTAGACCAGAAAATTAATACTGACCTTACTATGCATATGGCATTTACTATAGAAAAAAAAGTAACCAATGCCAAGATAAACAACCTGATACATCAAATACATGTGTAATACGGAAACGAATAAACGACTTTTATTCTTTAATTTTTAAAGAAAACCCTAAAAATTTTAGCAATACCACCAAAGCTCACTCTCTTGCTTCAAAGTGCTCTTTACAAAAGATAACTAGGCATTTCACACAAGAATGAGACTCAAGTTTTTTCATGTTTAGTTGTTTTGCTAGCGACTGATAAACTTCTGACCAAGACATTTAAATCCCTAATCATTTACTCTTCTATAAACTCAAGATTTTAAAATTATCTAAAACTCCCCAAAAATAAATGTAATAAACTGGACATACAACATGGAAATGTCTAACGCACTTTTCAGAAAGTTGCCACTTGAACTTGAATGGTAAAAATTTACTTTTGATGTCAAGCTGTAAAAATGTTTAACGTATATATTTTAGAGTTGAACTAAGAATTTATTTGAAACAATACAATTCAAAATGAACAGTACCTTTAATAGTATCAACTCTGCTCTCATATCTCGTAATTCTGATTCTTTTTGTTCTAGTAATGGCTTTAGGTTTTCATGTTCCTTTATAAAACATTTTTCTTTTTCATTATGGACTTCATTTTTGCTACATGTTTGAGATACTTCTTCAACTTGAATTAGAAGATTCTGATTTTCAAGCCTTATTTTTTCATTAGCATTCTTTATTTCTAGAAGATCAGATTGCAGGGCCTCTTTTTCTGACTGGATTTCTTCTAACTCTTTCCTTAAGAGAACTTTCTCTTGCTCACAGTCTCTCAATAAAGACTTAAGTTCTTCACACTGAACTACACTCTCTTCTTGAAGGCACTTAATCTCTTTTTCTAACTCGAATACCTTTTTATCACACTGAAAAACCAGGTTGCATTTTTCCTCATTTATTTTTGCCAAGGATTCACCGACTGCCTGTAGGATATTAACATCTTTCTCTTCACCATCTTCTGAAACTTCAGACCCCGTATCTTTAAGAAAACCATACAACTGAGTTTTGACAAATAACTTCTGAACTTGTTCATTTTCAAGCAGTTTATTTAAATTATCTCGCTCTTCAACCATTAACTGAAGTTTCTTTTCTAATTCAGTAATATGTTCTTTAAGGATAACATCATCTTTTTGAGACAAAAAAACTTCCAAATCCCTACTCAACTGTTTTTTTTCTGAACTGAGTTTATTGTTTTCCTCATAAAGAGACTTCACTTCAGCTGACAATACTTCTTTGTCTTCAGAGAGAACTTTCATTTGAACCATAAGTTTTTCTAGTTTTTGGTCATTTTGATCCTTTTCTTTTAAGGTCTCCTCTAGTCCTCCTGTTAATTCATTTACCTTTTGTTCTAGTTCACTGTTGTACTGGGTTGTCTGCTCTACTTTCTTCCCAAGTTCAAGAATCAGTCTTTCTTCCCTCTCACATTTCTTATGGAAATTATCCATTTCTTCATAGGAATTTTTCAGTTTATTTATAAAATCATCTTTTTCCTCAGTAAGAGAATTTATCTTTGCTTCTAATTCTTTTAACATGGTATCTCTTTGACTGAGACTAAGTAAGTATACTCCATTCTTTTCTTCAAGGTTCTTTATGGTATTTTCAAGTTCTGGTACCAATTCTTGTTGAGACAGTAACTTTTCATTTTCTCCCCGGAGGCGATTCACAGTTTCGAGAAGAGCATCTTTTTCAGTAAAGGCAGTTCTGAGCTTCTGCTGCAGTTCGTGAACATCAGACGCTTGCTGTTGCTTCATTGATTCAAACTCTTGACTTATTTTTCCAGCAGATTCCCCCAGTTCTGTTTGTAAAATTTCCATAATCTCTCGTAAACTCTCATAATTTAAAATTGCTTCTTGCTTTTCTTGCTGTAGGTTGTCACACTGTTCCTTAAGACCCTGGATTTCAAACATTAATGTTAATTTTTCTTTTTCTGAATCTGACAAAAATGCCTCATTTAGCTCCGATATTTCTTTTTGATGTTGTTCCTTAAGACTCTGTACTTCTTTGTTATGCTGTTCTACGGTACAGCAAAACTGTTTATTTAAACCTGCTAGCTCAGATTTTAATTTTTCAATTACACAGCCCTGTTCTTCTTTAGCTAGTAATAATTCATTGATTTTAAACTCTAAGTCTTCCCGTTCATGAAAAAACTCATCCTTTATATGTTGAGCATCCATTTCAAGTTTTAACTTAAGATTATTCATATAAGTTACCTCATCTTTTAAGATACTGTGTTGAGATTCAAGTTCTTTTAAGGTATCTTCTAAGTGTTTGACTTTTTCATTTACTACTTGTTCTACAAATGTATTTTCTTGGAAGAGAAGAGAACACATCTGATTGTCTTGGTTTGCATTTGAGGTGGCTTTCCTTAAATTTTCTAACTCACATTCATATTTCTCCTGGATGTTCTTTTCACTTGCCTCACATTGTTTTACTAAGTTCTCTTTTAGCTCATTCAACTTATTTATCTCTGTTTCATGTTCCTTAGCTGATGCTTCAATCTGGCACATTAATTCTTTCACCTCTTCTTGGTGTATAGCTTTCAACTGTAAAAGTTCCTCCTGCAAACTATTAATATTTTTTTGGTAATGCTGAGAATTAGCCTCAATGATATTTTGGAGTTGAGTAACTGTTTCCTTCTTTTCATCAGTGGTAGCGTCTAATTGCTTTTGCAGATATAAAATTTGCTCCTCAAAGGCTGGCCTAATTTTCTCAATCTCTTCTTGTAGTTTTTTAACATTATCTTCAGAGTTGTTCTGAAACTTAAGTTGTTCTGAGAGCTCTAATTGCTTATTCATTGCTTCTTCCAGTTCCTTTTGTAAGTTAGCTTTGTCTTCACTGTATTTGGCACGTACTGCCATCAATTCATTTTTCACATTTTCAATTTCTTTCACATAGTTTATATGTGATTGTTCCAACTCCTTATGTGCATCTTCCATCTTAGTTACAGAATCCTATTACAAAACATAAGCACACATAAATTATTTAAGACAGACAAAAGAAGCCTCTGCCCTTAGGAAAAATATTAGCTACAAACTAAGTAGAGAGAAAAGTAAATGAGAATAAATGTATTTGGAGAAACATGATACTGATGTTCCAATAATTCTCCTTAGGTGCTGCCTATCTAAAGTATGACAATATACATCTACAATATTAGATCTACAACTCAAATGAGCTCAGACCTAATAGGCAAGAAACAGAAGTATGTCTCTGAATAGCCCAGAACTACAGAGATAACAGTATTTAGTCATGTGTGAAAATCAACTTACTTTTTTTTGCTTTTATTAAAGAATAGCATTATAGCTATAAAAAAGATAAGGCAACAAGTAAATTCACCTCTGTTGCTGTATAGTTAGGCGATTTCGTTATTTTTCTTTTAAAATCTCAATCTGTTTCTTTGTTTATATTACAAAATGTCAATCAGATTAGATGTTTTTTAAAGTCTTACCTCTAAAATTAGTGACTACACTATATAAGTTAATAAAAAAGAACACTAAAATATTGACTTACCTCAACCTCTTGCTTCATTTTTATATTTTCCTTTTTCAGAGAAAGACACTGTTGCTCAGTCTCTGCTTTTTCCAGAAGAATAGCATCCAGACGTTCAGTTAATGCCTATTTTAGAACAGGATTTATATGCCTGGGGTTAAAAAAGTGGTGGATTGACCACATGCATAATTTTCTCCTGACCTTTTCAAAACACACTAAAGTGAGAATAAGAGATTTTAAAAGGTAGAACACATTAAGTAAAGAGAAAAGGTGAAAAGATATAAGGATAAGAGAAATTTCAACACATTTTTGGAAAACTGAATTATGGAGGAGGATGAACTGAATTAGAAGCAGGAAGAAAGCTATAACCTAAGGACCTGCACAAGGAAACACATATGAGAACCTGGCAAATATTTTGCAGAACTGAAATCCTCAGAATTGGAGACAACAGATATTGTTGAGGGAGGTGTAATGTGTGGGCTCAAAAATTGGGGATTGGTCAACAATCTGACTAGGGACCAGAGAGTAAGCAAAAATAATCTATGTCCCTCCCCCATCAGAGACAGGTTATTCTCTGCAGAAATTAAAGAGGAAGTTAATGAGATGGAAAAGAAAAAATCAATAAGCCAAGAGTCAGCTCTTTTAAGACAGCTATCAAAATAGACACCTTTTAGTAAAACTGATCAAAAGAATTTCCAAAAAATAATACAATGTAAAAGGATGCACATCTACGTAAGTCGGGCATGGTGGCTCATGCCTGTAATCCTAGCACTTTGGGAGGCCGAGGTAGGCAGATCACCTGAGGTCAGGAGTTCGAGACCAGCCTGGACAACATGGTGAAACCCTGTCTCTACTAAAAAATACAAAGAAAATTAGCTGGGTGTGGTGGTGGGTGCCTGTAGTCCCAGTTACCCTGGAGGCTAAGGCAGGAGAATTCCTTGAACACAGGAGGTGGGGGTTGCAGTGAGCCAAGATTGCTCCACTGTACTCCAGCCTGGGTGACAGAGCAAGACTATGTCTCAAAAAAAAAACAAAAAAAACAAACAAAAAAAAAAGTAAAGAAAATTATTATGAGTAACTATTTGTCAATAATAACGAAAACTCAACGGAAATGGATAACAATTCCTATAAAAATAAACCTTTACTGATTCACAAAAAATTTAAAAAGCATAACACTATATTTAAAAATCAAAAAAAGTTAAAAAATTGTCCACCAAAGAAAACAGGAGGAATAGATGGTTTTTAAGCTGAGTTCTGTCAAATTTTCAAGGAACAGACAGATCATCCCAATTTTTACAAACTTGTTCAGACAAAATAAGAAGCAAGAATAATTCCCAAGGTATTCTATAAAATCAGCATAACTTGAAACCAATATCCAAGTACTTACAGAAAGGAAAAATCAAAGACTCATTTTATGACAAATCTAGATCAAAAATCCTAAATAAAACATTAGTACACTATCACTATTGCTAATCAACAATTGTTATTAAAGACCTCAGCCTGTAAATGAAGCTTTAAGAGGACAGGAGGTGGCCAGGAGTGGTGGCTCATGCCTGTAATCCCAACACTGGGAGACGGAAGTGGGAAGATCAATGTTTAAGCCTCGGCAACAGGCGAGGCTCTGTCTCAAAAATAAATAAAAAAAATAAGACGTGAGGCATAAAGACTCAAAAAAAAATGTTTTTTTTCAGATGATATGACTGTTTATATAAAAAATCTAGAAGAATCTATAGGTAATTAGAAACAACAGAGTTTCACAAAGTAGATATAGGATTAATATACAAAGTTAGTTCCATTTCTGGATACTAAAGAATTAGAAAATATAGTTAAAAAGAAGACAGCATTTACAATGGTATCAAAGAATATCAACAGTCTAGAAAAAACTTTACCAGAAGATGTGTGGAGGCATTCCACAGGGGAAACTATAAAACTACAGATTCCATGCAATTCCAATTAATTGCAATGAAGTTTTTCATGGAATATGACAAGATTCTAAATGCATATGGAAAAGTAAAAAACCAAGAATAGCCAGGACACTTTTGAAGAGAACAAAGAAAGGACTTACTCTCCTAGATACCATGATTTACTATAAGGCTATAAAAAATAATAAAGACAATACAGTATTGGCAAAGGCACAGACAGCCAATGGAATAGAAAAAAGAGTTCAGACAATTCAGACAAACACAAACATTTTTAACTATAATATTAGATTAATGGAGAAAGACTATTCAATAATTAAGGTTGTAAAATAGTTATTTATATTAAAAAATACTTCAAACCATATTATAAACAAACTCCAGATGGATTAAGATTTAAATGTCAAAAATACAGTTTTAAACTCTTAAGAAACCTTAAGATGGCCGGGCGTGGTGGCTCACGCCTATAATCCCAGCACTTTGGGAGGCCAAGGCGGGCAGATCACAAGGTCAGGAGATCGAGACCATCCTGGCTAACACAGTGAAACCCCGTCTCTACTGAAAATACAAAAAATTAGCCAGGCGTGGTGGCAGGTGTCTGTAGTCCCAGCTACTCAGGAGGCTCAGGCAGGAGAACGGCGCGGACCCAGGAGGCGGAGCTTGCAGTGAGCCAAGATCGGGCCACTGCACTCCAGCCTGGGCGACAGAGCGAGACCGTCTCAAAACAACAAGAACAACAAAAAAAACCATAAGCTGGGAGAAGGTATTTAACACATAAACAACAAAAATAACAAAAAATACATATTTAAAAAAATTCTACAAACCCATAGGAAACCCATTGGCCCATTAAGAAAATGGATGTTGGTCAGGTGTGGGGGCTGACACCTGTAATACCAGCACTTTGGGAGGCTGAGGTGGGCATCAGATCACAAGGTCAGGAGATCAAGACCGTCTTGGACAACATGGTGAAACCCCGTCTCTACTAAAATACAAAAAATTAGCTGGGCGTGGTGGCACATGCCTGTAATCCCAGCTACTTGGGAGGCTGAGGCAGAGGAATCGCTTGAACCGAGAAGGTGGAGGTTGCAGTGAGCTGAGATTGTGCCACTGTACTCCAGCCTGGCGATAGAGCAAGACTCCGTCTTAAAAAAAAAAAAAAAAGAAGAAGAAAAAATAAAATGGATGTTATACACAAAAAGAATACTTTCAATCCAGACCACATGATCTATCATTTTACACCTATTTGGCAAAAATAAAAATACATGACAATACCTAGTGCTGGAGAGGATATGGATCCACAGTATCCCTTGTACATCGCTGGTAAAAGTTATTTCAAATACTTAACAGTGGTTTGGCACTATCTCATGAGGTTGAACCTTCATGTAACTTTTGACACAAAGATTTCACCCATTTACTTATAAGAATCCTTTGCACATTTATAAAGGAGATGTATACGAGAAGGTTCATTCTGCTTGTACTCCATCGCATAAACCTCAGCATAACCCCAACATCCATTAACAGTCTAGTTCATGAATGAACTGTTATTGTAATACAATGTCATACTCTATAGCAGCATGATGACATGCAATGATACAGATGAGCTTTAGAAAAATATTAAGTGCAAAAAGTCCTAATACATTACAAACAATGTGATACCCTTTTAGTGAAGTTAAAAACTAAAATGAAAAAAAATTATAAAATGATACTTATAAATGCAATAAAACTTCATAAAAGGAAAAGGAATGACGAACATGGGACTTAGGATTATGGTTTCCTGGGGTGTGGGAAACGGGGGGGGGGGGGGGGGAGTAGAAGGGGGGGGGGGATTACACTGCAAGATGTCTATTATTTTAAAGATCCTAGCTTTTGGGGGAGTTAATTTGTGATTATATCACAAATAATTAAATTGGAAGGAAATGGAGACAATGCAAAGGAGGCAGAAATAAAGTCCAAGACAGAAAAAATTTATTAGCTCAGAAAGATTATAGAACTTGTTGAATCTTTAAGATGAAAACAGAATATTCATATATCAAGAATGAGCTCTTTGAAATGAAATATTTAACATCAAATAGAAATTTTAATACAATGATGGAAAAATTAAAAGTGGATGACATTTCTTCTTAGACAAAAGGGAAAACTATTGAGAAAAAGGAAAAACTCTATTGAAAATATAAATCTAGATGAGCATTCCAGAAAGTTTTGTGGCATACTCTACAGCCTGTCTTCTTCAACTTCTATAATCAACAAGTTCTTTCTTGCCTGCCTCTTTTACATACAGTACAAAAGCTAAAACCTAAAACCCTTGATTTCTCAGATCAACAGGATGAGGATACAGGAGCACAGGGATGAAGAGTGTCTGGGTCCTGATGACATCACTGGAAGAAGACTGCACCAGCCTGAGAACTGCTATGTCTAAACTTCTTAGATGAAATAATACTAATTTAAAAACTTTATTATTTAAGAAAACAAAAACAAAACAGATGTAGAAAAATTCAGAGTTCTATATCAAGTTACAGCTATCATTCAAACATGAGAGTAAAATAAAGGAATATTTAAATACAAGACAATACAAAAATTTACCTACATGTGTTCATTCTTAGGAAGCTACAGAAGAATGTGCTCTACCAAAATGAGACGGTTAACCCAGAGAGTGAATGACGTGTGACCTAGCAAAGAACAGGGGGCCAATACAAGTAAGCAGTGTAGAAGTTCACAGGATCATCACAAAAGGCCTGTCCCAAAGTACAGGAAGACAGAAGGCAGGTACCAGGAATAAAGATAAAACAAAGATTATTTAATCTGTTTGATCATTTGGAAAGTAGAAGGGGTGGTGAAAGACAGCTAGATTTTCATTTATTGTAACAGGAAGTTTTAGAACTGATAATTCAAGTAATAGCAGTATAAGCATATTATTTAGAAATACAGAGATAATTTTCAGAAGTTATTGGGTATTATACGTTATTTAGAATTTAGTATTAAAAATTACGTGGATATGACTTTGGTTAAAACAACCTGAATTTTAAAATTAGTTTTTTCACATTATACATTAAGTATTGCAATATAAACTTCTAACTTCTGATTGGTAAGTATCGAAAGTCTCAATAAACTAATTTTAGGAGATCTATATATACAGGCTAAATGCAAACAACTATTTAAAAAAACCTTAAAGATCAGAAGCACAGAATGGACAGTATTTCTTAGGAAATACAA